ACAGAGACACACACAGACACAGAGACACACACAGACACACACACACACACACAGACACACACACACAACATGCGAGCAGCTGCAGTTCATATTCATGTCATACTGAATGCTGAAAGTCTTGGGTCAGGTGTGTTTACCTGCGTTGCTGCTTCCTCTGTAAGATTATAGTTCAGCCTCAGATTTATTCACTCTAATATATTATATATAAATATATATATATAAATAATATATTATATATATTATAGTAACAGTGAAAGCTGCTTTTCAAAATCACAAAATACCCAAACTGATCCAAGTTCCTACAGTCTTCATGTGGACTCCATTTCTACGCTTTAAGCCCTTTCCTATAATTATGGAGGACCGAAGCTGCCAAAACAACATAAATTAGTCTATAAATACTTTAATATGCCGTTAAATGCACTAAACATGATGTTAAAAATAAATGTAGGCATTCATTAATTTATAAAATATATTTATTTTTCTTTTTACATTTCTGCTTCATTATGCAAATTAGGTGTATGTCATTCAAATTCATATTGGTTGACATCAGAGCGACTGTGAGTCTCTCAGCTTTACTTATTGTTAGCGGTTAGCTACTTTAGCTGCTAACTACTGCTGAACATAGCTGCCGTTTGCTGGTTAGCTACCACACTAGTAGGTCCGAGCTTCCTGTCAGAGGGCAGAGTCAGATATTTTCAAGGTTAGCTGCCGGGCTAATTGAGCTATCTCGTTAAATCTGAGCCACATAATAACACAATTTAATTTAAAGGGCGACTGATCGAACAAGCTGCATTATTAACCCATTTTTAACTGAAAAAAAACAGTTTTAAGTTAAGATTTGTATCTTTCAAGGAAGTAAAAACGTGTTAATGCTCTTTAATGAGCTCAGACTCTCTGACGGTGACACAGTCATTGTGCGACGATAACGCGTTTACAGTTCGACACTCGGTTCTGTAATGAGGAACTGGGTTTTTATTAATTTTATTAAACAGTTTCCGTGACTGTGTGTTACCATGGTAACCGCGGATTATACTTGTTATCAGAAAATGAATTACAGTTTTCTCTCTATATGTGTGTGTGTTATCTAAAATGAGGTTCCTCTGAACAGACAGAGGACAGAAAACACTGCTGCTGTTATTCTCTCTTCATTTCCTCCTTCACCTCCTCCTGCCCTCCTGTTCTTTCTTTCTTTTGTTCTTTTCTTTTCCTTTCGTCCATTATTTCCCTCTTTGTTTCTCTTTTTCATCCTATTTCTTTTCTTTTCTAATATTTATTCCTCGTTTCTCCACCTTAATTTTGTCCTTTTCTCTTTCTCTCCCTGTCTCTTATATTTCTTTCTTTCTTTTATTTTTTTCTAATTTTGTTCTTCCTTTGTGTTTTATTTTTTTCTTTAGTTCTTATTTCTCTACCTTCCTTGTTGTTCTTTCTCTCCTTTCTCTTCTTTCTTTGGTCTTCCTTGCATCCTTTTTGTCTTTTCCTCTAGGCATTTTACTCACTTAGTTGTATAATTTTTATTTGTAAGGTTGAAAATATAAAAACACCCAATATAACGTAAAACTTTAATTCATTAGAAACTTTTATCTAACTTACAAAACTAAGTTAAAATATAATTAAAAATATTTAAAATATTCTTCAGTTTACGTTTTAAATTGAGTATGTTTCTTAAAATATTAGATGCAATCTGTGTTTTTTTAAAGTAAAATGACAAGTAAATGACAATAAGTGCAGCTTATACTCATGGCTGACACTCACTGCTGCCCCTAGTGGTCGGGAAGATTAACAACAGGATAAATTTGTCCCACAGTAACACTGAAACTAAATAACGGCAGCATTAACGAGAGAATTAACACAGAAATTAGTAACTAATTACTTTTATATGCAGTAATTTGTTAGGAAATTCAGTTAAATTGTTACCATCCTCTCTCTTTTGTGGGTTATAAACTCGCCTACTTTGCCGGAGACAAACGACAGATTCATGTTGCTTTCGGAGTAAACCAACTCTCTTTTTCCTCTCGTTTCCATTCACATAACGACAAAGTACTTCTTCTACTTCTCTCTCATTCTCTCTCTCTATCGTCTCTTTAGCTCATTTCTCTCTCTGTCACATCCTTTCCGAGTCCCATTAATCTCCACACAAACACACAGCGTAAACTCACAGTGTGTATCCACGCCGAGATTTCCCATGATGCCGTGGGAAAAACAGTAGAGTCATTCATCACTGAGGATGAAGTTTAGAGAGATGTCAGACACACACACTCACGGAGACCTCTAGAGGTTGCTGGTTTGAATCCTGACACAGTCTTTCTCTCCTTCCCCCCAAAGTTAAATAATGAAAACGCTCTGCCAGCAGCAATTTGTCCTGATGTATTTGGGAGAAGTGGGTCACCTGATCGTTCACATTGTTTCCATGGCAACAGGCTGCCATCATCAGCACCGTGTGAGAGAGTGTAAGGAGAAATTATCTAGCTAGTTCAGCGAACAATTGATGTAGATTAGTTTGCTAGTGGACTAGTGCTTTGCTCTGTGATTAAACGCTGTACCTAGTTAAAAAATAACCTAGATTAGCTAGATAGTTAGCGAGAATTAAGCTAACATTTAGCTAGTATAAGTATTGGATTGAAACAGACTGAATCACACACAAGGTTAACCATTTTAATATCGTCCAATCAGAAAACACAGGAAACCACAGCAGTGCAAACAGGAAGTGGGATTAAACTCTGCTCTGCAACTTCCTGTTTCCGTCACATTTTGGTCCCACGTCGTCGTCGTCGTCATCGTCATCGTCATCGTCACCATCATCATGATCATAATCATCAATAACACCTTTTTACATCCACTTCAACATCATCAAATTCCATATTTTAATTTTAAATATTTGTATGTTTTACAGTGTTTATTGTACATGGGGCATATGTGTTGTGTGCTTTGTCTGTGAATCAAGTTTCCCTGACGGGACAATTCGGGTTGAAAATGCATTGAATAATTAGCATAATAATTATAATAATACTAATTAGCTTTTTCACATCAACAGTTACTGACTTGATCGTCCTCATCGTCCTCAGTCTTGATCATAATCATAATAACTTTAATTATCATAATTTTAATCATCGTGACTGGCACAGCAGTCATCATGGCCACCAGTGCTGCTGTTATCTTCATCATCATCATCACACACACACACACCCACCCACCCACACACACACACACACACACGCACATTACTGGACACACAGTGTAAAGAAGCAGGCAGGCCCATTAATTCATATATGGCTCAATTATCAAACATCAAAGCCGGATCTAACAGAAGGGGAATAACTTCAACAGGATCAACCCACCAGACTTTTAAAAAGTTCATTATTATTCATTTTAAGTCCTTTTCTCCAAGTTGGTCTACCACAAAAAAATCGTACAGGTGTATTTTTCCAGTGTTTCCTGTGTCCAGCTCATTGTTTCCACACTCTGAGGGGGGGGAAGCAGACATCCATGACAATGTAAAATCTGTCTTTACACTGTACAATCCAGGCTGCTTGAAAATCATTTTCTCCGTCAACAAGGATCTGTCGCACCCAAGACTTAAACCTGTCAAACTGTGGAGTGAACAGTCAGTAGGGCTGTAAATACTACTATGATGTCCGTATCACACCACAGAGGTCAAGCTGCAGTTTTCATCTTGACATTAAAAATCCATCACAAGCAAAGTTGTCCACCAAACTCTTTCGCTGTAAATCCACATCACACCACAGAATCCATCATGCTGCAGAATCTGTCATGCTGTAAATTCCTCCACTGTGTCCGAATCTTGTCACACGAGCTGTAAAAGTTCACCGATTATGAGCCTTGAGTCTGTCATTTTCCCTTATGCAGTTATTATAGTCCCATTTTAAAAGCAGCATCATCTGCATATAATGACACTCAGATAGTTCTTAATTGTCTCGTCGGCCATTTCCTTGCCCCCGATTTCACTACCCACTCGTTTATTCGTAAATCTGGGGACAGAAAAAAGGGGTTTAATTGAAAAGCTAACCATTGATTGGCTAAAAAAAGAAACAAAAATCCCTCCGTCCAGCAGCTTGAGGCCGATTCATCCAACAACTTTCTGGTTTTGTGCTTTGTGAAACCACCAATGTGTTCAGATTTGGTCAGTTTTAATCTCCGTGGTTGCAGTCAGTCACCAGTCCCCCCTGACTCTTTACTTAGTTATTGTCAGGTTTTTTTTTACAAGGTCACTAAATAAGGAGCAAGCTCATTGGCTGATAGATTTAATTAGGGTTGAGTTTAGGGCAAAAAATTTAAACATAAGCCGTGTCAAAAATCGTTCCTTGTTTTAGTTTAGTGTTGTTTACTTTCTGCCACTAGTGTCTGAATTTGTAAATGTGTGACGTATGTACTTTGTTGTAGTTTTGGCTACAGATTCCATTATGTAAGGCTTTGTCTATGCTGATGGGTCAGTGTAGTTTGTGGCCAACAGATTTTTGTAAGTAGTTTTTTTTATTACCATTTTTATATTCAAAACAAAAAACAAATTTAAAATGAGTTGTTTTCCGTTCTTTGTTCCTTTACCTATAAATGGTAGTTGGCAAACAGTTCGTTTGGCCTCAAAGTACACTGACCGTAAGAACAGATGCATTAATTTGATATGAAACCATGTCAGCTGTGACCGTGTTCGGTAGTTTTCCGCTATCTTAGTTTACTACAAAATAAAATTAAAAAGAGTGAATAAAGGAGTTTCTAACACAGCAAAGTCTGACATTCAAAAATGAGGAAGAACCGGACCTACACTTCGTAATTTATGGACTTGTGTTGTTTTTCTGAATCAACAACAGATTACTAGGAATAAAATACCAGTTAGAAGAAACAACTCTTGTCTCTTGTCTTGATTTGGTCGATTTTTATGGCTCGTAAACCATCAAATGTACCTAAATGTCCTTCAAAGGGAGTTATTATGTTGTATTTCAATAATCATTAGATTTTTCCAGGTAAAAACATTCAAATTTATTGATGGCACAGAATACAGAGTTATATATATATATATATTTCTCATGTGGGAGATTGGAAAATGGAAACTGGTACTTTCACATCTTTGTGTTTTGTTTGTCGATCCAACTTCTACACAATATCTATAATGTCAGATCCTCAGTCTCCGTTTCCACCTTTTATGTGAGTAAAAAAACCACTTTTTTCTGGCCTCGTTAGTTTGTTTAACGCTGTTTAAAATGTTGTCCAGCTCCACTGGTTCAAACACAAAAAAAACCCAGACCACAACGTTGCTGCTTTTTAGTGGAGAATTATTCGCTGTTCTCTGTGGTTTAGAGTAAAATTTAAAAAAGAAAAAAAGTTATAATGAGCTTTTATATTCAAAGTACATTTCTAAAGCAAAAGCCCCAGCAAAGCCTCCCAAACCCGCTGATATTTTCCAAACTGCTGTAGTTTTTGATCCTTAAAAAAACCCCACAAACACACAAAGCTGCTGTTTTTTCAAATTCAAGCTGAAGCGGTTTGAATGTTGTGGCGAACTAATGAGTTTGAATGAGTCCTCTGAGTGCTGTGATCAGAGGACACAAAGTACATGTAGTGTTAATTACAGCTCTGTTCAATGATCGACATGCAGCCGACTGCTGGGAAATCTGCCTTTTACTGTCAGCTGGTTTAATGTAGCGAACAGAGGAGGGTCCGATTTAAACTGTTCTGGGTTAGTGAGGAATTTGGATTGGCTCTGAAGGGAGGAGGGGGCTGAAAACACGAGATTCATCTTTAGCCAGCCAATCAAAATACAGAAAACTACAGATATGAATCTTCATCATGTAAGAGATTGTGCTTGTTCCTTTAAAAGCGATACATTTCAGTATTTTATTTTGGAAAGCTCAATGCCAGTGTCACCTGACCAAACATTTAACATTTTAACGTAAGGTCACATCACAACACATATTGTACTTCTAACTTTCAGTATATCACGTATGTTAGAAGGGTTCCACAAAGTTTTAATTACGCATTGATAAAAGTATTAAAAGTTGGTTGTTTTGTAGTTTACAGAAAACGTCCTGGAAACATAGTTTTTGGTTTTTAATTCAATAAGCAACCGTACCAACCGTTAGCTACTGCTGTAGTATCTAATTTTTGCCAAATTCAAGAATTTTCTTATCATAATTTCAATGCATTGTTTCGAGGCTAGCTGCTATAGCTAGCAATGGCTGAATCAGTGACAACTAGCTAGCAGGTTTAGTCACATAAATTGTACTTTTTCACAGCGCAGAAACCAGTTTAACCACACAAATAATCCATCTGAAATAAAAAGTTTGAAAACAATTTTTTGTAAAAGCAAAACCAGTAGAGAAACCAGCTTAACAACCAGTCAAGTCAGTCTTTCTCTCTCATTCAGTAACTATTTTCAATTCTCTCTGACTGCATCTGTGAGCTAGCAGTGTGTTAGCGTTAGCTCAGCAGTCAGTTTGCCGTCGCCTCGCTCCAGATAGCTCGTGCAGCGTTAGCCGAGGCCGGGGTTCGGAGGTTTGCGCAGCCACTGATAGAACTGCCGCCGGTGAAGGCGGTGCCAGCGCACGTTGCCCTCAACGATCTCCAGCGCCCGCGGCAACGCAGGCCCCGCCCCCACGCCACTGGACTGGATGAACTCCTTTAACTGAAGAGAGAAAGGGACGGAGGAAGGGGAAATAATGGAGGGTAGAAGGAGTTGAGTAGAAAGGGAAAAGTACAAATGGTGAGAAGATATGAAGAAAAGGAGATGATAGAAAAGTAATGAGATTATTAGAAACCCCTCTGTGAAGATAAGAAAGAAATATTGCAACCCCAAGAGGCTAAAAAGTTCATTACATCCCACAATATGATGGGAATGGGGTCGAAATGTTTCTATAAATGGCCCTGGTGCACAGATTATGGTGGGAACAGGCCACACCATACTAGGAAAACATAATGCTTTGTTTTGATAGTCCGACTGTATTTGTAGATGTTTAACATATTCTTTTTATATTTGTTTAATATAATATTCTGTGTTTCTGTGTTAAGTACCATTGAAGGATATCATTTACAGAGAGAAAACTGAAATAGGAATACACAACACATGGTGTCCACATACTTTTGGCCATATAGTAGATCTTATTCTAGCTCAAAGTGCAGCCATGTGCATCAAAAACGAAAGGTTTCTTGATGTTTTCCGTAGAAGGAGACTTTCCCTTCTTGATGGCAGTTAAACAGAAACTTTCTTTTTTAAAATGCCGGTAATTATAGGTAAAATTTCCGGCATGAAAGTCGAGGTATCAAAGTAAAACTTTGTCTTAAAGGATGGTAATTAAATGAACAGTTTCCCAGGCGAGAAAGGTGAGGTATTAAAGAGAAACCTTTTCGGAAGAGAAACTTTGTTCAAGGAAGATAATTAATTTGATTTTTCTTTTTTCTTTTTAAGTTAAGGACTGAAGATGAAACTTAAGAGTTGTTCAGAGTTTGACGGATTCACTGGAGCGCAGGAGAAAATCCATCCCTTCAACTCGCTTTAACACAGCAGATATTGTTAACACTGCTCTCCTTCACTTCCCTCTTTCTCTTCCTGCTTTCTCTTCCATCCTACTCTCTACTTTTTAAAACTCTCCTTCCCTCTGTGACTCACCGATTTTTAAAATTTGCTCAGTGGGCGGAAGCAGACTTTTCTCTCAAAAACATTTTCAGGAAAATAAAAGGCACATCATTCTTTTCATTTGAGGCAGTTTTTTGTATTAAGGGGTCCCATTTTTTGATTCTGTTCAGAGGCTTCACAGACACTAAAGCCCACGCTGAGGCCACTTTTTGTTACCATACCAACAGGAGTGGTAAAGACCTCAAACAAAATGGTTTCATTACAAAAAAAGGAAAGAAATGAAGAGACAGATTTCTATTCAAAAACGCCCACAACCCTTTATGTTTGTAGAAAATGTGAGGTTGTGAACATTGGATTCAAAAGAAACTTCTGCTTACATTTTATTTCTGATTTTTTTCTCCTTTTGGTAAAACATCTTTTCATGACAACCACTTTATTACATAAAATATAAATATACGTGTGTGTAATACATGTGGCGACAGAGTTTCTGTTGACTATAGGTATTTTTCTGGAGGAATAATCAATGGCATAATTAATCTGAAGGACATATACAGTCTAAATATAATACTGATCTGCTGATTGTTTTGACCTACACAAACAAACAAGACCATCAGCAAGAAGATGGGCTATTTGGGACAGATTCCCCTTAAAAAAAATGAAACAAGGCGGTGGAAACACTACTGCTTTCGTCCACAGGGGCGCCAGAATCAATAGAAAATTAAAAGTCCCCTTGTTGCTGCTTTAAATTTCATTTAATTTCTGTCAGAAAACATCAGAGAGATTTGGGGATATGAGCAATTAAAAGATCTGTGGTTGTGGAGTTGCTGCGTAAAAGGACAGCTGTTTCGGTTGAAGGCTTTGTAGTGATCATGTTCTAAATTATCGCTTTAATATTTATAAAGTTAAGTGCATTCTTTTTGTAGAACATGTAGTAAAAGAAGTCAGCCAACAGAAGGAAGAAGATTTAACACAACAAAATCTAGAGGAGTAACGGTACCTATATTTTGCTTTGGTGCGCTCCATGAACACAACAATAAATACATTTTAGATCCACTGTACGGGAGCAGTACGGCTTCAAAATATATATTCAAGTATAGGTCTAGCAGATTCATACACTTTAATGCAGAAATATCACATATTATATCTTTAAAATAACTACTTTGTTACGTTTAGGTAACCTTTACGGTCATGGTTAAAAGAAGAATCCCAGTCAGTCGCAGTCTGATGTTTTTCTTGTTATAAAGTGTGACTACCCTGATTGGATGGTGTTTTTTCATCACCTGAGCTTGATAAAAGCCTGCAGCACGATAATAGACGGACCTTATTGTGTCGAATGAATGTGTGATAGTATTATTTCTTTCTTTTTACCATTATATCTGTGAAGTTAGTTAGAGTTAAAGTGTGTAAATTGGCCCCTCAGATTCACTGCAGGGCCTCAATAATGTGTGTGTGTGTGTGTGTTTACCTCATTGAGTTCTCTGTCAGTGTTCAGGAACTCGGTGACTCCGCCGATGAGCTTTGAATTCATAAACAGCGCTTCACCATAACTGAGCAGAGACAGCGAGAGACACAGTTAATGTTTCGGTTTGCCCATTTTTGTTTTTCTTCACACTTCAACAGTTAAGATCAACGTGGACTCACCGCGCGTTCAGGATGTCCCACTTTTCTCTGAAGTACTTCCAGGCGAGGTTTCGACCCTGCGGGTTTCTACCCACGTGGATGATGACGTCGATCACATCCTGCTCCGGGACCAGGTCAGAGGTCAAAGACAGGTTCAGTAACCTGGGAGACACAGAGACACATCTCTGTAACCATGGCAGCTGGTCTATCTTTAAATATATAAAGATTCCATTTTTCTTTTTTAGCATACTAACAAACATCAATATGCTTTTGTTTATAACATGATACAACATTAGCTTGTGGATCTAATTTTAGCATGATTTCAGTATTTTATAGTTAGCATGCTAAAATATGAACCTGTGAATCACATTAGAGTAAAATGTTAGAATGTTTCATAGCGCGCTGAAACATAAGCCTGTACGCATTGAAATGCTTAGGCATACAGACATCAATGAGCTTCATTAACATTACAAAACATTAACTTGCGTATCTTATTTAGCAATTTCTGTATTTTAAAATCCATAACAAAGTTAGCATGCTACACTATGTTATAGTTACAATAGCAAAGTAGTAATATAATCTAAAATGTAAAAGGTTAAGGATTATTAGCCTGCTAAAATATAAGGATTCGGTCTTAAATAACTAACGTTTATTAGCATGCAACAATAGCACGTAGGTAATATTTTAGCCCAACATGCCAGGACCAGTTAATCAAAAATGTAAAATTAAACATTAGTGCAAAGATATTTTTAATTTCCAGGTGTGTATTGTCTTCAGAAAGCCGTTGTATCCAGCTGCCAAGCACACAGACACAGGCTGAGTGTTTATGAAAGGGAGCCCTGCCTGAGGGTGTATCCGTCAAACCACTCCTCTGAAATCGAGACAACACTTAAATGAGCCACAGTAATCTGATTACTCCCTGATTTGCAGAGATTGAGGGGATTTGGGGGGGGGGGGCGGCGATCATACGTACGTTTGTTTGCAGGATCCTGGTAATTTGAAACGCGTAAACACAATAATCTGAGTTTCTGAAGTGTTTTGTTTTAGATGATTTAGATGGTGAGAAAATAAGAGAGTTTCACAGAAAAGACGGATGTTCATTCATCCAACACTGTGATCAAACCTTCATCTTCCTTTACTTTCTGTTTTCATTTCTCTGTATTTTTCTCTGTGTGTGTGCAGGTGTGTGTGTGCTGTGTGTAGCTGTTTTTTGTAGCTTGGGTCTTTCCATGTAAAACCCAAATCAAGTTTTCTCTCTCTTTTCCCACAATCCTCTGTGCTGAAACCATTTCCTTTGACATCAGTGTGTCGTTCTGGTGTGTTTTGTGCGATTATCAATGGTTTGTGTGTTGTGTGTGGTGTTGCGGATAGCTGCGTATCCGAACATGCAGTACTAACCACGTCTGATGCAGAACGTTTACGTGTGGCTGAAATCAAGTCTGCACACACACACACACACACACACACACACACACAGGGGGACATCGCTCACTCGTACAGTTTTCGAGTGTGTGTGTCGAGCAGAGAAGAAGATCCATCACGTCGCTATTTTTCTCCAGGCGAGAGATAGCAGCGCAGTTACTCACTGATGAAATACGCACCACACACACCACACACACACACAGTTACACAGAAGGCCATTTATGTACATGTACGGCCTCGGGCGCATTTTTCTCTGCACCTTGTATTCAATTTGCAGTCTGTTTCTCTTTCAGTGCGCCATGAAAATCAACTTGCTGCAGTAAAAATCCATTGCAGTCAGCATTTAGTCACCTTAAGTTTTTTGGTCAAACTTTTTGTTATTATCATATATGTCCTCCTTTAAAGGGACAGTTCACTCCAAAAATCAAAAATACATATTTTACCCCTTTTAAAATTGATTTAGCTAAAAAATAAAACCCCTTTATAAAGAGGTACAATCCAGCTCTGCGCCATCAGTGTTTGATTTAGTAAGAAAAACATTTAAATGCTTCATTTCAAATGTTTAGAACGATTAAATTCACAATGCAAAAGGCATTGAAGTTGCATTGAATTGCGTCTTTTTGGAGTTGCACCTCCAGTTTAGTGAGAAAATTACTGTATCTTGATATCTGTACTCGGGATGGGCGGGGCTTAAATTTGATGCATATATATATATATATAGATAGTGGATCAGAAGCTTTCTATATTTGTTGGAAAACTATTTACAGAACAGCCTCAGAACTATTTTTTCATCACAGGAGTAAGAGAAAGTAAATAAAAGTTGGATATTGACACATTTTACACACATTTGAAAACCTCAACAGCAACGTCTCTTTCCAGAAATCATGACACGGTTACTCAAGATAACCTACACCTGAACATGAATGGCGCTCTTCTCGGCTCTTAGCTAGCTCATCTAGCACCGCTGAGATAGCTAAAGTAGCAATAGGAAAACGGAAGGTAGAATATCTCCAAAACTCAGCAGCTCACACCAAAGCAATCTAGATAGATAAACGGCACTATGGATAAGAGGAAAACTGTCCCTCTAAGCATCTAAAGACTGAAGCTGCTCCCTATTTATTTGCTAACAATGCATCCATCCAATATAAAAAGGGGTCGCTCGTATTGACAAACCCACAGAGAATTTTCACCAAACTCAGCAGTTCCCCCTCGGCTCTACTGTTTTAATGTCTGTCAACGTATTGGTTTAATTTTACAGCCTGAAGCTTTACTGTTGTGGTTCAGTCTCACAGCTCTCATTAATCTCCAGCAGGAGCAGGCAGCTGTTTTCAGAAAACAAGCCCTGATAAACCCACTGTACACGACCTGGTCAGCACTAAACCGCAAACACAGACACTGTTAAGAGAGCGGCCGGTGGAGAAAGTGGAGCATTTAGCAGCTATAGAGTCCGATTATTTCCCTCAGGAGGTGGTGGAGACCAAAAACAGAGCTAAAAGGAGCTGAAAGAGAGTGAATATTGGACACAAACACTTCTCCAAATGAATGTTGCTTCATGTCTGCTGGATGTGTAAACAGTTTGCTAATATGTTCCCTACAGCAACTTGTTTTGATTGTTCTGCCACCAAGTTGCCAAACAGATCAATTATAGCTGCATTCTTCTGCAAGCGCTGTTGTGTGTGCTCATGAATTAATGCACAGTGTGTCTGTGAGATGCAATTAAGTACAGGAACGGTGGGAGAATTTTATGGGGATGTATTATGGGCAAACTCTGAGTGAAACACAACGATGATGGAGGAACTTTCTGATGAGAAATTCAGACTATATCTGGTTGATAATGTCCCAATCTGACAGACATGGGGCATCGAGGAGAATAATTATTACTCATTTGTAGTGTAGTGATTGTAATTTTTGTAGTAGTGTCCAAGGACAGGGGTCTTTTTTCAGTGGTTCATTGTATGTGTGTTGTGTAACCAGTGCACCATCGAAGAGGAGACCTCGGTCTCACTGGGTTTTCCCTGGCTCAATACAGGTTAAATTTTCAAAAAAAAAGGTAACTACTTCCAAATAAAGTAATTTAATAAGTCAAAAAAGTGGATTTCACATAAAGTTACTCTTTAAACCTGAATTTTTGGCCACTTGGGGGCAGCAGAAACTATTTGTGTACCTGACGTTGGGGACGTTGTTGGGAACAGTTACAGAGTGTCTGAGAACAATACTCACTCTCTTTTAGCTTTGTTTTTGGTCTCTACCAACTCCTGAAGGAAATATCTGACTCTTAAACTGCTGAATGCTCCAATATGTTCACCAGCCAGTCTCTAACTGTGCTGGTCAGCTGTTGGCTGCTGAGCTGGTAGTGTACAGAGGATTAATGGACTGGTACAGCCCAGGCAGCTAAACAATGAGCTCCCTTTGATGCATTGCTGCAAGTATGCAGCCGCTTGTATATGCTTATGATGATAAAAATGCTAATTTCTTGTTTCTTAGAGAGAGAACTTGACTTGTAATGTTCAGATCAATGACATTAATATTATAAAACAAGCTGTTATATACATTATCTGAAAAATGCAGACAAGGTTAAACCCTGTAGCATCCTTTTTCTACCACACAGACACAAACCTGTTGAGGAGGAAGATGTTGTCCGAGCAGGTCAGAGCCTCCAGAAGGATCTTCTTCTCTGAAACGGCGTTGGACGAGTGAAACTTCATCCAGATGAACTCCCACACGTCCTCGTCCATCAGGCTGACCCCAGTGCAGTAAACTATGTCTCTGATGTTGGGAGGAATCCTGGAAAGACAAACATCCAGCCCATCAGTCCAAAAAGTGTGTGTCACATTTTAGGTAGAAGTATAAGATTTTACTTCTGTGCGTTAAAAAGCAACGAGAGACTAGGGTGTGTTAGTAATAAAACTAAAAACCCTCTCTGGGTGCTGAGAAAGAAATTCTGATTCCATTAGGGAGCTCCATTAAAACACCCCTTCACTTATCTTGTGAACTCTGGTCATAAAATGCAGAGACAAAGACACACTTAAAGACACTTTCCCACCAACTGGGACTCCAAAAAGTCTCAATATCCCTAATTGGCATGTGCACTTCTGAATATAATGTGTTGGGAGTACTTTAGGAATTTAAATTAGGCTTATTGCTGAAGCACTAACTGTTGACAATATAGCTTCTGTCTCCGCTGTCCTTGATATTTGCAATGTCAAATCGTAATATGGTTGGATTCATTAATGTCTGATAATAGATGCGTTGTTCTTAGGTACTGAGCCAAGACATAGGAACCGCCCCTGGGCTCACTTCTCGAACATTTCCCTGATTAAATACCCGACCTGGTGGGAGGAGAGATTGTGGGTGAAGACCTGGTGGCTGGACTTGTGCCACGATGTCCTGTTGTTGTTACGAGCAGCCAAATCGTAAAAAACTCTTCATGTCAGTCTCTGAGTCGTAGTTCAGAGGAGGAGATATGGGGACGATATCTCCCACCTGGAGAACAGAACTCTCAATAATCTGGTACTAACATAACCTTTATAGCTGGCACTTACATCTAAATGAAATCCAATGTTAACACAAATACAACTGACCTTTCTTAAGTCCCGCCCCTCTTTGCTCTGAGCTCCAATCAGCTGAGCAAGCTTCGGTCAACTTCCTCCTTTGCTCTATATGCTATGTGCTAGGCTAGTCTATGTTGAAAAAAACAACTATATTCTCAGGATGATTATAGAATAAAAGCGACATATACCTGATATCAAAACGTCAGCCAGCTAGTTACATCTGAAAGCTAATGTTAGCAAAATGCTAGTTAGCTAATGTTCTGCTTAATGCTAACTTAAGATGTCACTATATGTCGACATATATATATACTGTATATGTCGCTAGATGCCACTTAATCCTGCAGAGTGGTTCTCAACCGGGGGGTTGGGACCTCCACAAGGGGTTGCCAAAGCTTCACAGTGAAGATTGTTATTTTTAATGGTTTCGATTATTATTTAAGATCTAAACTTTGATGATCTGAACATGCTGTATTCACAAAGACATATTCTGCTGAACAGCCTCGTATTAGAATTGTTAAAACAATCAAGGAGCTAATGGAACAATGAGAGGTAAATACTGATTGTGTCAAAAAATAATCCAATTAAGTTTGTATAATTGTTAAAATCGAAGAAAAAACACAATACAGACGAAGAATTGTATAAAAAGTTCCTAAAAATACAAGGAAAACTAAATATTCCTGTGAATAAATCAGGAATATTTTATTTTCCTCATAATAATCTGCTCAAAATTCATCCAAATCACTCATTTGACACAAACTTCCTGCAGTTATTTCGTTCGCTGTTTGGGTTTATTGTACAATACATTCATTGTTACCAGCAGAATCACTGCTTTTAGTAACTAAAACTAAGACAAATCAGTGGAGTAAACAGTACAATATTGCACTGCTGTGTCATTTGTAAGCAGATAAATTCTGGTTACACAAACTGTCTCTCAGCTTTCTGCTGAGGAAGGAGCTCCTGGTGGAGGGTAAGTGAGCTCCAGGAGCTCATACTCATAGAACTGGAGTTACTACAGGACACTACTGTCTCTGCTGCAGGGTGTTTTTTTTATTCTAGGGTTGCACAATTAATTGAAATATTATCAAAATTGCAATATGGCCAAGTGCAACATGCAAATTGCAACAGCTGCAGAAGGTAAAATGGGTCACAATCCAGCATTTTAATGAAGTGCTGCAGTGCTGCAGAGGTGTCCTGGCCTACAAAGCTCCATATGTTTGTTTGGTACAGAAAACCCCCAAAAAGTGTCATATCATGATGATTTAGTTGGTGAAAATTAATATTTGTGATGCAAAAATGATCATTCCCGCTAATCGTGGATCATTTTTTAATCCTAATATCTGTCAGAATGATGAATATATAAGCAATAAGATGTTTCTAACACACTGTGCAACCCTATTATAAACACTATGGCACACTCACACACACACACTCCATGTCCCAGCTGGTTACTGGCCTGAATCATCAGTAAAGCAAAGAAAAAAAAGGTGAACATTTCCTTCACACTATAATGTGTGTGTGTGTGTGTGTCTGTAGGTGTTTTTGTGTGTGTGTGTGTGTGTGTGTGTTTGTACTTGACCTAAATTGTCAGTAAACCAAAACTAAAAACTTTCATCACAATACAGTGAGCTCAGCTGGCAGCAAAAATTATATACTGAACACCGTATGTGTGTGTGTGTGTGTGTGTGTGTGTGTGTGGGTGTATTCCCTGAGTGTGTGTGTGTGTGTGTGTGTGTGTGTGTGTGTGTGCATTCTCTGTGTGCAGAGTGAGTGATGCAGGGACAATTACATCATTCACCGACCTGGGAAATCATTTTAGAGATGCTCCACTTAAGAGCAAGCTTCAACACACACACATACACACACACACTGGCTAACTTCCACATTACTGCTGACTGCGGCGTTAAAGTCCTTCTCAGACGACATCTGCCAAACACTGTGTACTCAAGTGTGTGTATTTACAAATGCGCGTGTGTTTAACCAGATAAGATGATGTCTAAGCTACTACCAGGTTATTTGTCATGTAAAACATTAAGTGCATCTGTGTCTCCTGCTACAGAGACTATTTATAGCACTGCTACTATTACTCTTGTATCACTTCTAGCGCCACTGTTATTCCTATCGCTAATAAAAATAACAGTAATAATGTGAGTTTTTCTTTGCAGAATATAAAATGGAGGAAGAGAGTCTCTGGAAACCTCCAGATGGCTCTGATCCCATTAACTAACAGAGAGAGAGAGAGAGAGAGAGAGAGAGAGAAAGAGAGAGTGAGTGTGTGTGTGTGTGTGTTTTAACAGTCTGTAGAGGATGTTTTATGTCCTAAAGCTCTATCTTTCTCCTGAAATATCTCTCCCTCCCACTCAATTCTTCCTCTGCATCAAACTCCCATTCTGACAGTAAACATGTCTCTCCACCATCTGCTGTGTCTGTCGGTCGGACTCTGCAGTCCAAGTGTCACTATGAATTTTGAAAATCACTCCGGCGGAGTGATAAAACATTTAAACTGCCCGACAGAACATGAGCTCGGTCAGGTAATTACACCCTGACTAAAGATGACTGCGGCGCTGTGGCTGTGACTGCGGCGTATGTCGTTACCCCAAAATTCACATCGGACATGAGACGTGCAACTGAAGCCAGGCCCGTCCTTAATGTGTTATCTGTGCAAGCAGCTTATTACAACCCATTTGCGACTATTGTTAGGCGGCAACCTCTGGTGGCCGTTGTAATTATGACGGGAGCAATGGAGGAAGTCAGGTGACGTGGCATAAAAAGAGACAAAAGTCCACGTAGGGAGGAGGTTGGAGTGGATGGATGAGTCAAACACAAGACTTTCTCCCAGGAGAACGCTGTCCAGGTCCAAATCCAAACCAAACGCTCGCTGTAGATAAAGCCTTTTGTGTTTTTCGAGTTTTCCAGCTAACGTAGTTTCTCCTATGCACTTTAAAGGTGAGGGGTATTCAGTTGGTTGCATTGTTGGCTGTGTATCCCTTAAAAGTACATTCATACTGTACTGGACGATTCAATGACTTCAAGCTGTGTGCTTGTGTCTGATCCATGACCAACAGGCGTGGTTTAACGCTAGGTGGGTGTAATGATGTGTGACAGGAGTGACTGTTAGCTCGACAAAAATGGCAGCTGCTAAAGAGGTTAGTGTAGATGCTGCTAGTATCAATTATATCAGAACTGGAGAGCAAAGACGTCTCCCAGTCTCCCAGTTTCAGTCTCCCACAACTGGCTTCGGTAAGCGTTTTCTTGATCTGATCGGTTGAAGTTAGACTGTGTTCGACAAGTATATTTTTGAAAGTGCCTTCCCTTTTCCAAACGACTTCCCAGATGGTTTGTTCAGATGGCGCAGTTGGATAAATTAATAAAAGTATTGAAATTAAACTTTAACCTCATAATGACGCTAGATAAAAAGCCACCAAGTGGAAACTGGTCTGTAAATAACTTAATAATAAATACAATCTAGACCTACTGTCTATTTCAAGTGTCCTCAGATAACTTATAGAATATACTTTATTGTCCCCGAGGGGAAACGTGTCTTGGACTCTGTGCTACAATATTCACAAAAACAAGAAACTGCCTGACAACACGGCAGCTTAAAGAGAGACTGTTAGAACTAAAATGCTAAGTGTATTTATTGCACATAGATCTATTGCAATAAGTATTACTATTATGAGTATTCCTGATAGGTAGAGGTTTGTATTGATGTTGAGGGTCCGCAACTTCTGGTTTGATTTCACGCTACATAGATAAAATTGAACTGAAAATCACCAAAGTTACTACAGTTCATCCTGAGGGGAACCTGCTTGTGTGTTTCAAATCTCACGGCAATCCCTCCAGTAGTTTTCGAGATATTTCCATCTGGACTAAAGTAGTAGACAAACATTTCCACTGAGAGCCTCTAACACGCCTAGAAATCTAGACCTATATCAGTTCAGTATTGTGCTTAATATGCTTCTAATTAATAAATCAACACAACCTTTTGCAGGTAGTCCACTCAAGCATAGAAATAATGAACACAATGCACAGAGAATGGAAGGAATGGGGGGTTAATGGGGGCCCAGCAGCCCATTATTGTCCAAGGACCCCCTACCAGGTTAATCCATCAATGGCTGCAGCCACACTAAGATAAATTTAATGCCGAGCTTTTTTGATCCATTTAGACGGTTCATTTACAATAAAATCCCAGTGGGACATGATTAATATTCCAGGGTGATACAGGCGGTGAAATATCAGCACTGCTATGCTGTAATTACACTCATTGTTCTGGACGGGATTGTAGCCAGAGTCAAGTTACAGCAGGTGGTTCCTAACACTCTTTTCATGCATGAGGCGCAGGTGTGACACAGGTTTGCGGTTTGACTCCTTCATATCAAAGGCTCAGCTCTATTTGTGTCACTGTTCTTCGGGACTGTAGCTGCACTCATACACATCACTGCAAAAGCACAGAATTAATGTACTGAGAATTACACTAGTGCTAAATAGAGTTCAGTTGCATGTGTTCTCCGTCTTTTTTTCCAGGTAATTGTGAAGCCAGGTCAGATGAGCCTGGCGACACTTCTATTACTCTGATAAAAAGCGGATCTGTAATTAATACTCTGGCAGGGAGAGGGAAACCACATACATGTGATCTCAAGATGGGATTAAAACCACTGAATAGAGCATGAAATATTAAAAAACCACCCCTGGAAAGATTAATCCTGCATGAATGTGGACTTATCCGGCACTTTTCCACCATGGAAAGTGGAGCATTTCCAAACTGCTTTTCAAATTTAAGAAAAGGGGGCCACACTTGTGTTGTAGCGAGGATGAAAACAAATGGAACTTTTCCAAAAAGCTGCCATATGGTTGTCATGTGACCGGCTCCCTCATCGCTCGCCCTGTAAACAACAACGTAACTTTGATAACGAAGGAAGGAAAGAGAAGAAAGTTGGCGCAAAAGGCAAAAATAGGTAGCGAGTCCAGAAATATCTAGTTGTGAGATAATGACGCGTTAACACGTATCTGACATTAGCCGAGAAAACCATTCATAAAATCAGCTGAAACAGTCTTTAATTTAGTGTTTTTTAATTTAAGCATGCCTCTCATCATCAGCTCCCTGCTGTCCTTTACAGAACACCAGCATCTGTTTCTATTTAATTTGCTGTTTGAAATCTAATTTTGCAGATCTCGTTAAGGACCCAGAGGGAGCGAACGAGCCAGCAGCACATGAAAGAGAAAAAAGTTGGAGGCAGACAGGAAAAAAAATTAATGTAGAAAACAACAAATGGATCCTGGATGTAGCATCTTTTACCTTTATAGGTTACAACTTTTTATTCTTTTTTCCATAATGTTTGCAGGTGATCAACAAGTATCATCTGTCAGTACAGTAACAACACATAAAGGCCTGCGAGGGAATTAATAGACAGGGAAATAAATAAGGCAGAGTATAAAAATACCTGTTTTCCCACCTTTTCTCTTCATAACTCACATAACAGCCATACATTATGACTAAGACAGTAAACAGTACAGTGCAGTAGAAAGCATACACCTGCGACTTTGATCACTCCTTATCCCTTCCCCCTGGGTCTTCCTCTAAATTCCACTATACAGGCAGAATACAGCGTGTTGCCGAGTTAATAGGGAAACAAAATAAAAATAAACATTGATATCATGGTTCTAGCAGCATTCCTGGCCTATTCCTGTTCATCCTAGCAACAGAAAAGTTCCATAGATAACATTGAAGAAGCAACTTATTCTAAAACTTAACTAAGGCTGACCAGGATCATACAGTAAATCTGCTTTCAACCAATTCAATTCTTAATTTTTTCCTCTATAGTTCTCCTTAAGTCCCTCCTTAAGTTCTCTTGAAAAAAAAAACACGTTTTTCTACTTTTAAACACTTTGTTTAAAGTGCCAGAGCCAGAGTCTAAGCAGTAGTGATAGCTGTTGGCGCCACTGAAAGTCAGTCTCACCCAGCCAACTCAATTTAAACACATAGTGACAACACATAGTTTCAAATAACTCATTAATACCAAACTTACCAAAACAATGAACACTTGAGCATTACACAGATACATACACAGACCTAGCTAAAATGACAGAAACAGTCTTTGGGATACATTTATTTAACGTGTACTTTGGCTTCAACTTGTAGTTTCAGGAGTGGCCCAAACTGAACCCAGTCAGGCTGTATGCATTATACAGTATGTGTGTGTGTATTCGTACCTGTTCTTGTTGCTGGAGATCCAGTCAGAGATGTAAGCGACGGCCTGACGGTGGCACTGCTTGTTCCCAAAGCTACAAGCTAACATGATGAGCTCCCTCTGTAACTCCCTGCAGAGAGGAAGAGAGGAAGAAAATGTGTACAGTTCTTTTGTCTATCATCAGACACTTAAAGAAACATTGTCTGAAGTTGGATACCAGTTTCATCTCTGTGCATCTACCACAGAGATAGGTCCAGGACTCTAGTTTAATAGCACAGACTGGAAGAAACTTCTAGCCTAGTTAAAGTTTGTGCAGGAATGAGTCAAAAATCTAAGACAGACAGGGATGTGACTGGTGGTTGAGAGTGTATTTATTGGTCGCCAAACCCTCTGATCTATATTCGACCTTTTGGATTTTGTGCTGTTAAACAAACATGAACAGAATTAGCAGTTAGACTTGGAGACACCCACACAGTTTGTTCACATCAGACCTTTGTACTTGTCGTGCACTTAATGTTATTAGTGCTATAATATTAAGAGGAGTGTGTATATAATAGTGTGCGTGTCTTGCGTACTCAGTCTGGTAGGACGCCTGCAGGATGTTGCCCTCATTGCCGGGGCCGTTTGTTGGCCAACCCATCTGATGGTACCGTGATGCAACCTGCTTCAGCACATAATCCTGGAAACACACAGACACAGACACACACACACACACACACCGTTAATCGTTAATGAACAAACACTCAGCTGTCAGACAGTTTGTCCTGCTAACATAGGAGCTGTTACTGACAGACTGATTGATTGACTGAAGGACAGACTGAGACGATAATTGATTGACTGGGTGTTTACACTGAACAGGCTGTATTCGTCTGTGCGGTCCAGCAGTTTGTCCAGCTGGTACAGCGCTCGGCTGGCGGCGTGCCACGGCAGGAAGGAGGTCTCCTCCGGCAGATAGCCAATCAGCTGTAAGGGAACACCTTGTGGGAGGTATCCAGCCCTGAGACAGAGACAGAGATGGAGAGAGAGTATAAAAAATGTAAATGTAGATAAAATATCTAATTTAAGCAGGAGTCGTCGTGTAAAATGAGTGTTTTGGATACATTTTGAGCAAATTATTTCCTGTTTAAAGAACTTTTTATCCAATTCTCGGCCTATATTATGTATTTTTTAAATATTTTCTAACAATCATTCAGACTTAATAGGCTCCTTTTTTGACATATTAAGCGTTTTCTGGTTCTATTAGACAATTTACATTTAGTTTTTCTTCACAGAAGTGAACCAAAATGCTGAGATATAGACCTACTGTGTGAATGTTTTAGGATATACATCCACTGTTTTAGAGGGAATAGCATCCATAACTGCTACCACAACTCTGCAACAACAATCAACTTCTGAATAATGACACCAGCATGATTTCCCACAATTCCACTCAACAATTAAAAGAATTTGACAAAAATAGGTTCATCTAAGGTGGAAAAAAACAACAACAAAAAACTATAGCAGTCAGTTTAAAACCTTGAATATTATCAATATCTTCAGAGTCAGGTATATGGTATACACCTTAACCACCAGGACTATACTTGTTAACTAACTACACGCTAACTGGCTATTAAAACCAGCTGCCATAGAAAACAGAGACACATAAAAATGTTTCTGTGCCCAAAATATGAAATTGGTCAGAAGAATCAATTCAACGACTTCTTGGTGAAACTGTTCATAAAACAAGACAGTACAGATCTTTTCATACTTTAAAGCAAGATGAGGTAACTTTTTATTAAACTCACTCTTTGGATTGGCACATCCCAGCTACCATACTTCGACTGCGTTTTTTGAATGACACGTCCTGTGTGTGTACGTGAGGATATTCATAATATATTATCTACTTTCCAATGCTTATGTGTATGTTATGGCCATGTTTTCCCCCCATTTTAAAATAACTTTTTAACGGCAGGCAAAAAAACAGACAAACCGACATCTTTTCTGACAGTTTTTCTCTTTCTGGACTCCAAACTTTTATATTAGTGCAGAGTCTGGGATACACAGAGGTGAATTCTGGTACATGAATTCAATTTGAAGCCAGATCCTGTTTTGCTCTTTAACCCTCAGATGTAACCCTCAGTCTCTGTGGTGTGTGCGAGAGTGAGCGAGAGTGAGCGAGTCTGTGAATAAACTACAGTATGAACACATTAAGAAAAACTTGGCCTCTAAATGCCATCGGGGCTATTTAGCTGCCCGGGTTACAGCCACTGCTTCATGAATATTAACTAGCTTCCTTTGTGCATTCATTAACATTCATGATGTTTTTTAAGGGGGCGGGGGGAGAGAAGGCACTCACCTGCTTCCTGCATCGACCTTCAGCTCCACCCACAGCTCATGAATATTAATGAGGCAGGCAGTTGAGGACAGAAAGTGAACTTAGAGAGGTGATGTTAAGTTTTATTGGTTTTATTCTGATTATTGACGCTCAGCAGAGAGGCTGAAGAGAGGAGTGACCGACAAGAAAGTACTGCAGGGAAATTCATGACTGACCTTTACTGAGGAGGTGTCAATCAAAGTGAGTGACGGACGAATAGAGGAGGTGAAGGGATTTAATGTTCTTGCACTGAAATGGTTTTTAGACTGTTTTTTAATTTACAGAGACAGACAGGTTGAGAGAGAGAGAGAGAGCGACAGACCTCCACGGGAAAGTTAATCTGCTTCAGATAAGACTCTCTAAGTCTTTGAGGAGCTGAGGAAACTCTAAATTCCAGACCTCCATATTTCCATAATCTGCCTCATATCCGACTCGACCAACCTCCACACATTCATCTCCATTCCCATCATGCACCTGGCCTCCGAGACATTACCATAATCCATCCAGCTTGCCGAGACTTCCTGTTTATACCGCTCCGAAAACAAGTGATGGGACTAAACGTGACGGCAGAGGGAGAGATAGCGGTCACCATGGCAACAGCAGCCAGACGTTGATCTGTTTGCCTGTTTATTTGTCCATCTGTGTTTTCCGTTTCTCAACGTGTGGACGTATACTGTCAGGCCGCACTTCGTACTGATCGAATGTGATCCGTAGTCAATGCAACAACTGTCAAAACAACAAAAGTGCGTTTCTCAGTTTTCTGCTAAGGTTTTTTCTCTTTCTCTCTCTCGGTCTTTGCATATTGTTTAATTCTTTCCCCAAAAAATCTTAAAAAGGCAACAATATTAAGATGCATATATGATGTTTACTATCTCTCTGTATTATCCTAAAAAAGCAAAAAATTAAATCTAAATTAAAATAATCTTAACAAAAACAGCATTAAGTGGTTTTATTTAGCTCATTTTTATGTATAAAGTACCACGGATAAATGATTTAACCTGATAACAGCTCCTGAAACTATCATTATAAAATCCCAAAGCCCTTAAAACACTCGAACTAGAATTTTTGAAAAGTGCAAGAGTTGGACAATCCTAACACTGAGAAATAAAACTCTAAAAACTCTTTTAACCCCTGAAATCCCAGAGGACACCAAAAATCCCAATAGAAATAGACTGAAAACTTTCTTACCAAGGCCTCCACAGTAGAGCTGTGTATTTGCAAGAATCTGGCAAAACCATATATATCACAATAAATCTACAATCAAAGCTGCAGTAGGTAACTTTTATAAAAATATGTTTTATGTGTCATATTTGCTGAAACTTTCACTATATCCTGACAGTAGCACATGAGACAGATAATGTGTGAAAAAATCAGGTTCCTCTGAGTCCTCCAAAATAAATTATATTTTATAAATATTACCTACTACAGCTTTAATACAACCAGAACAGTGGGATCTGCATTTGTATTTAACACAGTTCCTGTAACATCCGACATCATAGCCCTCAGTTTGACAGCCCTGCTTTCTATCCAGCGGTTAATAGTTTAAACACAAAAATCGATACAGCTTTTTTGAGAATTGATACAATATATCATGGGTCCACATGATTCCTTGAGACCTGACCTGGGATGATCCATATAATATTTCCTCTAAACCCACCTGATGAACTCAATACATAGCGTCACTCTGCATTCATAACACTGAACTGGTCTCAGGTCTGTGGTTCTACCTGAGTGGATCCATAATCTCCATCAACTGTGCAGGAAAACAGATATTACTGCTGCTCTTTTTTTACAGTCCTTTATCGGTTTAGATCGCCTGCATTTTGGACCAAGTCTGTCCTTTTGTCAACGGTTCCCTGTGTGATTATAAAAATGAAATCATCCCCTTTGGGTAGTTCTCCAAATATAAGTCCAGTGAAGACCTCTATAGTCCTGCTCCTCAGAGGAAAAACCCTTTGGATTTGAATGACTTTTCATCTGACTCACAGCTCCAGTAAATCTCCCGGGGACACTAGCAGGACTTTAAACTGTTAGTCAGGTTGTTCTGTTCACAGAGAAAGTGAAGAGATTATAGATTTTCAATTTTCCCTCTCATTTGTGTGTGCACGTGCGTATGTGTGTCTCTCTCCCAGTGTTGTCGTCTTAACGAGCTCATTAACTCGTTAACTTCGTTAAGGGCCAGTTAATTGTTTGTCCATTAGCCATTAGCAAGGCTCAGTGGAGAGCTAACGAGGGACCGCTGCGGTCACACACACGCTCACACTAACACACACAGAGAGAAAGAGAGGCGACATCCATCACTGTTTAAGCGCACACTCACAGAGACACAGCCATTTATTACTGCTAAACTAGCTTCACATACACACCACACACACAGAGTCCTGCAGCCACCAATCAGCATTCAGTGCTCTGTAAATTGCTCAAGCTTTAGCCAATCGAACTGTAAGCAGAAGAATCAGCATTACTCAAATTAATTCAGAGATTAAAGACTGGCACTGAACAATGCTGAAATTGAATCTGTGTATTTTGCAGTTTTTATTGTAAAACAGCTTTTCAATGCTTATATACTTCTTTGTGCTTAATGAGGCACACATCCAGGACCAAATAGTTTTTTATCTGACTCTGGGTAAGAAGTGATAATTGCATGACATAACCACTCACTGGTTTGTTACAGATGAGTTCATCACAACTTTGGTCATATTTTTTGTGTTTTTGTTCATCATTTCTATCAGTAATATTAACACTATGTCGCTGTTGTACATGGCAGTAAATTAACACTGTCCACGTAACACAGCACCCGTGTTTCCATCCAAATGTAACGCAAATTTTACTAGAAATTTAAAGGAATTGGCATAGGAAAATGAAGAGGTAGAGAAGGTAAATGAATGCTTGTTTCCATCCACTAGAGTTGTGTGTTCATTAGGAGTTGGTTCATGAGATAAGCAGTAGGTGGCACCAATTTTCCAGTCGGAAAAGCAGAAGAAGACGAGATGACGCAATTAAAAGATTGTGAAAAACAATGCAGTAAATGAAAATTTGACATTTCAGTTAGTTTCGTGTATTAATGTGAGGAAGGTTTCATCAGATCTGTGTGGACTGGATGTATTATAGAGCCATGGCAACGATGAGGAGACTTTTGGAAACAGCTGATCAGTCATGTGAGCTCAGAATTTTTTCATCTTCCATTAAGCACATCAAACATTGAGGACGTCTTTTTCAAATTGTGCCATTTACATCAAACTTTTCTAATGTTATACTTAAAAATAAGCATAAAAATATGTTAATAGAAACACGGCTACTGTCAACAAAGACTATTTCTTCAGTAGAAAGTACTCCAACAAAAGTGTTGAGTGTTAGGCTTGTCATTTTGTGATGAACTCATCCACTGTAAGGACTACAAAAACCCAAACAACAGTCACATCAGAAGCAAAACCACTTTGCCGTGTCTTTTGATGTTGAGTAGTGATGTTCGGCATTACCATAGCAACACATGGAGGCTTAAGTAAGAGCATCTTCTGCTGCCAGTGTGAATATTATTAATGGATCTGTAGGTCTGTTTCTTTTTCTATTCAGATGGAAACGTCCCGCTGAGCTCCTAACTCATCAACAAACACGCACACACACTCGAACAGAGGATGACAGCGCAGTCTCTAGCTGTTGCTCATTCAACATGACAGTAGACAGATGGCTGAGAGGGAGAGAGAGATAGAAAAAAGAAAGAGAGAGGGGGGTAGATTGAGTTATAGGGTTGGTGTCAGAGCAGATTTTGGTTACAGTGCTCGAAAAGCTTGAGGCTAAAAACATCACTATGAGAAACGACACACTCCTCTACCTCTCTCTCTCTCTCTCTGTGGCTGCAGCCTCACTGAGCGCTCATTCATCACAGAGTTTCTGTCTGGCTCAGGTTGCTTTTGAATTCCTTTTTGCACTACGTAGGTAGTCTGCTCTGAATGCAGCAACATGGACGGTCATCTCACAGAGCCAGATGTGCCTGTGTCACTTTGGGATGTGGCTGAATGACAAATCTGCAGCTGCGGTGTAATCCCAGGCAGCTATAGCTCTGGGAACAGTGCCTCGCTTAAAGGGAAAATCTGGTGTTTGACAACTTGGTCTTATTCACATATTTTAGTCCATTATAACTATCAGTCACTGTGGCTTGCTTTCGATTTAGCTTAAGAAGTACAGGAGTGAATGCAACATGCACTCACACCAGTGGAGCTACTCAGAAACTAAACTAGGAGCTGAATGTCCCTTTTACAACTTGTGCACTGCTTCATTGATGGTAACTTTTAGACTGATGATAGGTTAGAAAACGATGGCGACATTTGAAGTGCAATTTTTACATCATCAATTGTATTTACTGTGTGACTCTGAAGTTTTAATGGATGTTATGAATGAAAAGGAGAAATGTTGAGGAGGAAAAGGAGACTGAAAACTCCCAAACATGAGTAGATGATCTGCTTTAAAAAGGAAACTCACAAAATCTTCTTTCGACAGAGCTGCCAATATAACTTTTGCTTCCTTGTTTGTGAATGAAGTGGTACACAAGTTGTAGTTTTTCAGACCTGCAAACTCCACCCTGTGTCCATAACACAAGGACACAGGAAACTTAACTTAGTTCCTCCCATTGGAACGCAGCTCTATGGAAATTACTAAAAAGGTTCTTGGCCCTGGAACCACACCAGGATCCTACAGAGGGAAGATACCATACTGTGGGGCTATTCAGTTACAAATTTTTGTGGGGTAGACTTTAAAACCAGGAAATGTAGGTGGGCCAGAGATTTTCAGCAGCCTATTTCAAACCTTTTTTAAGCTTTAAGCTTGTCTGGAAAGTTTGCTGTTTCTAATTGTGGTTATATACTTTAACTACCGCAACACACAAGTACTTGCCAGTCCAGGAAGGTTTTCATTGTGAGTTTTATGTTTCAGCGTTGACAGAGACATAATTTCAGTAGAGCACTTCCCTACTTGTGACTGTCAATAGCCAGATGTTTAGAAAAGCTAAGCTTGTAACTCACAGAGACATCGCTGATTTGTGATTGGCTGCTACATTCTTAAACATCCTGCCCTGATCTGAACCATGATGGTTCTTGTTTGTTGGGTATTTCCTTTTTTTGTTTTATAGTTTTATTCCTCCTAAGTCCTGTTCTACTTAACTTACTGCCCTTATGTGTTTCCTGATGAATTTGATAGTTTGCCCCGCCTTGTGTTCACCTGTGTCTAATTAGTCTCCTTCACTAGAGTCTATATTTCCTGTGTTACTTCCACTCTGGGCCAGTTTGTCTTTGTACCTTTGTGTCTTGTGTTCCAGCCTTCGTATCCCTAGTGTCATGTGATTTTTCTGTTTTTTTTGGATTACTGCCTGTTTTTTGACCCTGCCTCTGCCATTTCCCCGTTGGATTGGTCTGCCTACTCCGACTGACCTCCTGTGTACCAAACTAAATTTGGCAAGTAAAGACTGTGTATTTTTTCGGGTCCTGTTTCTTCTGGTTTCACCAAACATAATAGGAACTGCCCATTGTGAGAAGGACATTAGATGGCTCACTCGTTAGCTACTTCAATACACTTTATATATCGTTTACTTATTTGGTCATATATCAGATTTATGTATGTTGGACCGGATGTGGTCAGCATGCTGCCGATTGGATAGGCTGGTCCTACTGCATCTCTGTAGTTTTCATTAACTGCTACTAAACAGTTAACAGAGACTTTCAATCAGACTCAAAATCGAGTGTTTGATATGATTTCAGTTAAATTGAAGTCTACAGGAAAACTGTAGGAAGCTCATGCTCCTTGCCCCTGTCAATGTTGTTCTTAGTGGGGTTTGCATTTCCCAAATCTCTAAACTGAAGATGCTGAATAAATAAATCATAATGGACAAAAATATGAGAATAACCCACAGCTACCTTGGCAGTGGCAATGGCATATTTGCTAAACATGCACATCTACTGGAGAATATGCAAAGAAAGAGTCAGGATAACCCTCAGGCAACTGTTAATCCTTGAGCCACTGAGCTACACTTATCTAGTAGTTATGGATGTGGAGGAATCAGCTGCTGGCAAAGCTCCAGCCCAACACCTTGTGTGTGAATGTAAATTTGTATATGAATATCCATAGGTATATAAACCTCTGTATATACAGCTGACTCAAACTACAAGCACATCAGCAGAAAACCACCTCCTCGATTCTGTTGGCCAAACAGATGATGACAACTCTGAAATAAATCTGTCCGCTCAAAAAATTCAGTCCATCAAAAGAGACATATCTGAGGGAGGCAGACACATCATCAGTACTGTTCAACAAAGAGACACTCCTTTAGTGGAAAGCAATTAAAAACAAACAGAAACAGACAAACAATGGATCCGCCTGGCTGCTCTTTCCCTTTGTGTGTCCAGATGTCTTACAGTGACAGATGAGAGAACAGAAAACAGATCATTTGTCCACCACTTTCTCCTGTTATAATGAACTGTCCTTTCCACTGTGTATGTGTTTGTGTCTATCAGTCTTTGAACAGGGGATTTTAAACCACACTGAACCAATATGTTTTCTGGTTAAGCAAAGACTCACCTGGCCAGGTTGAAGGCATCATCGATAAGTCCTGCCCTGTTTCCAATGGAGATTATCTGAGAGGCAAAGAGTGAGACAGACAGAGAGGAATTGAAAAAGACAAAGAAGGAAATAGAGAGGGTTAAACAGAAAGAGACATACCTACATACAGATAGACAGATAGACAGACAGATACTGCATACTTGAGGGTTGGTGTGGAGCTGTTGAATCAGCAGTTTCCAGTTCTGGAGGTCATAGTTCACACGGAAGTAGCCTGTCTGGTTGATGTTGCCCAGCAACCAGGTTTTGTCGTCCATCTGACCAATCCTGTGGGTTTCTAAGACAAAACAGAAAAATTGAAAGAAAAATGTCAACAGCCTGTCCCTAATAAAAAAGAACCAATGGTTCAACCAAAGAGGTTGGATATCTGATGAAGGTCGTTAGATATGCAGATGATACCACGCTGTCCTGTTTAGTTCCTAAGTCAAAAACATGGCTCCTGCAGGTTGCATCAAACTGCCATTGCTATTATAATGTGATATATAGTTTTTTTAACCTGGAAGTGAAAGTCGAACAGACAGACAGTGAGGATCAGTCCTAAGTGTAAACCAGTTACTGTATGTGGAAAAAGATAGTTTTGATTTGATAAAATGGGCAGGATTGTTTTGAATTTGTGATGACTAGTTGTACTTTTTAGTTACCATTTTGCCTCATTCGTGTAATGAGTGAGCTACCAACTTGTAATTGCCTTCAAGATCCAAGTCAGAATTACAACTGGGTAACTCACACATATCTAACTTAGTGCAATATACAGCCAGCCCCACAAAAGGGAATTCTAGTTCTTGTGAGGGGCGTTTTGCCTTTTATTTGTGTTTAATTTTAACAAATACTGTGCTATATTGTTATGGCAAAGTATTGTTAAGTCACACAACCATCTTGAGTTGTCCAATAACATTTTATTTTTGCAAGCTGAGTTGCACATTAGATTTGATTTGATTCAACTTTATTGTCATTGTAAGTACAGGTACAAACAACAAAATGCAGTTAGCATCAACCAGAAGTGCGAAGTAGTAAAGTGCAATTTACAATGCATTTATTTAAACTTGATAAAAACACACTGGCATTTACACTAACTTGGAAAGGTGTTACATTTACAAAACATAATTCAGAAGAGAGTGTAAAAACTGAAACAACTAAGTATAAACTGTAAGATCTGCAACACCTTTAACACCTATCATGCTGAAAGAAAAGTTTGTGTTGATTAGAGTGGCATCACAGCCTTTTCATAGAAAAAAACAAGAACATCCTCTAAGGTTGTTAAATTAGGTTGTAAGTTTGAGTAGAACAGCTTGTAGGATCTTTCAGACTTTGTTTACCAGCCAGGTGAGGAAAACAAGGAAAATAGCTGCTGACCCAAGTCTGGCCCACTTCCTCAACTTCCTTCCCACTGGTTGAAATTAAACTATCTTGAAGTCTTGAACTTCCCTTCACCATGCACCTTGCAAGTAGGTGGAGTTGTACCAGAACCCAGTACACCACCTGTCAACAGCTGTTAATAAACACAACCATGCAAGCTTTATTCTGCACAAACAGAAGCAGAATGAGTTTTATTATCCAAAAACAGAGGCAGTTTGAGGTCTATTCACCTAACATTAACAAAGAGAACTTTATTCTCCGAAAACAGAACCAGAATTAGCTCTATTCTCCATAAACAGAACTGGAATTAATGGAAAATCAATGCAAAATAAATGGTATTTTCCAACAACCCATAGAGACAAAGCAAACTTTGCATTATTTGCCAAAAAACAGCACTAGGGAGAGAAGTGTTATTCCTCAAAAAAACTAACCAGAATGAGTTTTACTTTTCATGAAACAAAGTCTTATCCCCCCCCCAAAAAAAGGACAGAAAGAGCTTTATTTTGAAAAAACAGACCTAGAGTGAGCTTTACTCTCAATAAACAGATAGAGATTTATTTCCAAAACCAAACAAACAGGTTTATTCCCACTGCTGACCTCTGAACAATGAAAATGGAAAACATTGAGCAGAGCTTTTTTCATCAAAGTAATAACGTGAAAGTTTTCATTTCTCAGCCCATTAAATAGAAATCACATATTTCGAGATAATGAGATAATTTAGTTGTGATCGTGGGATAATTTGCTCTATTAATACAAAAAAAGAATCCCAAGATAACGGCTATCTCAAGTGTAACCAGATAATTAAAATTAACTTTTATGGAGATGTTCAATAAATTATATCAGATCTGAGAGCAGTGTTTTCTAGTTTTAGTTCTTGAAGTACACCGGCAGTACCGTACCTGTCTTGTTGTTGATCCAGATGAGGCTCTCTGAACAAACCGTGGATGCGTTTCCCACAGCAACCGTCAACGGCACCTGCCACTGTAAGCTACAGAGAGGGAGAATGATGTCAGTAATGGTCGGTGGGATTGGACTGAGTTTTATTGCCTCAGTTATCAGATAGAAAGAGAGAGAGAAAGAGAGAGAGTGATGGTCAGTGATGATCATTCAACATCAGTCAGCTGGAAATGGAGCGAGCGACACAGACTGTGTTATAGAGAGAGAGTGTAATAGCTTCCGCAGCCAGAGAACATCAGTCAGGTGGAAGTGGCTGAGGGTTATTGTCTTCTTCACAGAGCACGGGAGGTTAAATGTGCTGTCCAGTGAAAACGTAGTGTGGTGGTTAGTTTTCAGGTCAGTTTAAAGATGTATAAATACACTAATTGAGTGAACTCCCCAAACTAACAGACCTATAAAACCTTTTAACAAAACCAGCTGAGTGAAAATTGCATCACTGCTGAGCTTAAACAAGGCAGTTTTTCTTGAGAAGTAGATGTTAAGGAGATAAGTGGCTTTTGAAAAGCATCAAGATGAATGAAGCATGACGTGGAAGGAACTCTTCAGAATAAAGATTGTTAAAAAAATTCCACCCAATAAAACTGAGAGCAACTCGGCCTGTGCAAGTGCCAACATAATTTATGTTTTATACTCCAAATGTTGAACAAAACCCATTTGCTAATGATACTCTAAAGGTCTCATTCTAGGGGAATCAGAGAAGCTGCAGAATTATATGACGTTGAATTCTGAGTTGTCCTTTCCTTTCAAAAATAAGGTATTTTATTTCGACATTTCATAACTACTACATTTAACACTATACCTGCCGTTAACAATATTTTTTTGACATGTAAGATGGGACGCTTCCCGCCATTGACGGCAATCCGTGTTTTCACTGTTATAAAAAGAATGAACAAAGTTAGAATAAAATGTTTTTTGTGCATAAAAATAGATGTCCTGCTCTTTCTTTTGATATATTCACTGTTTACACATTCATAGAACATAATATTCTGGGGGTCTTGAAAGATTAGTGAATATCAAAAAATATGAAATATGATCAAAAAATGCTGGCGGCGTCTGGCAACTTAATGATAATAGTCTGGCGGAGAAATCATTTGATGACAACAGCAAACACAAACACACCCTATAAATCACTGCTTTCAAAATGGACCCAGTTCCGGTCAACATTAACCTTCTGAGGCAACTTGACTTGCAAGATCAGGAAATCAGATCACATGGGAATCCAAGATGGCTTCAAGCTATGCACTTGTGTACAGTGAGGAACTACTGGCAGCTACGTTAGGAGCTAAGGCTGGTTTAACGCTACGTGTGTGAGAAGAGACTGTTTGCTCGGCTCCTAAAGAGGTCAGCGTAGCTCCTGCTAGCATCATTTATATCAGCACTGGAGAGTATTTCTTCACTGAAAGAAGAGCAAAGAACGACACAGAAGGCTTCTCCCGACAGGAAAGATGTTTGCGGTCCATGAAGATCTGAAGGTCCGACCTTATCGATACTGCTATCGAGACTAGCGGGTCCTACGACGTTATGTGTCGAGTAGGGCTGAGTCGATTCCTTGAGTTACTTAAATTAACTATGCAAACCCGCTCCCTCTGTAGATAAAAACAGCTCATTATATGGTAACGAAAACACAAGGATTCCTATATCCAGAAAATTATACACTAATGAAAACATACCTATTAATATTATATTCAGTTTCTGATTATAGATCATCCTTTAATGTTACACACTGGACCTTTAATTGAAGTATGTGAGTACTTCTTCCACCCCAGCTGGTCTGAAAGAGTAAATATAAATTTTAAACCACAAATTAAGTAATACTGTACGAAGAGAGAGCGTTAGCCGACTCTAAGGGCTCATTAGGAACAAATGGCTTCCTGATGCTTTTTGTTAGTGACCAGTAGATGCTATTGAAACACACACACACACACACACTGCAGCAGCCTCATTTAAATCTGAAATGCTACTGTATGTGAGCACTAATGACACCAATAAAAGAGCCTTTAAAGTGAGACCTTCTCTTTAGTTCCATTAGAAACCCTCAGAGACTCAGCTGTTAATTGGATTCATTTTGATCAAATTGATTCATATTTTAATTAAAGTGGATTTTAATTCCAGACAGCAAACAATCAGCAATTAATTCATCTGTTTAAGGAGAGTGTGTACGTGGGATTGTTTGTTTGCGCGTGTGTGTGTGTGTGTGTGTGTGGTAGGGGTCATTGTAACACAATCAGTCAGACAAAGACCCATTTATCCCACAACAGCCATCTGGCAACCGTGGATCAATACTGCTGCCTAGCAACCAAATATTTAATCTGATATTTATATCAACGTGATTGACAGGAATGCACCTCAATTACACACACACACTTAATCACACACAGTCAGCAGCATGGACAGCAGAATGTGTTTATTAATATTTGATCGAAATGAAGCCTGTTTATTTTAGACAACAGTGTATGTGTGTGAGAGAGTGTGTGTGTGTAGAGTCAATGGTTTATTCATCAAAGGCAGAAACCAGCTAAAAGCACGCACGCACACACACACAAACACACTGTAGGCAGAGAGAAAGGCAGAACGACTGTGTTGCTACATCAACAATGGAAACTCCTCAGACAGCCCTTTGCCTCTCTTCCTCCATTAAAAGCACTTTGAGCCCATTAATACTCGTCATTTCAAGTGTCTCAAAATCTAAACTTAAAATTCAAACATAAATCTATCAGAGCCTCTAATGCCAGGATCAGAATAAGAGATATCAGGAATAAGGATGTCATGCGAACCGGTACTTCGGTACCAAGACGTTGCTGAGGTTCTTAAAACGCGACGTTACTCGCTTTCTACAGTACCGCGGTTTTAGGGAAGCTAACAGGGTACCTCTGCAGAGAAACAGAGGCAGACGCAGATATTTTACACGCACGGAGCAGGTAAAGCAAGAGTGAACAGCAGTGAACAGCAGCTGGTGCCGCTGTCATTCGGTACCACGTCGATTTCTATCTTTTTGATGAGCAACGAGTCTCCTCCACACACGGCTCACCTGCTGGTGTTAAAACAGGATCGTGGGTGAAAAAAATATCAGTTGTGTTTAAATGTCAACAGAGACACACAGGAAGGCAGAAACAGATAGAGATGGGCCAACGGTACCGGGGTGTGTGTGTGTGTGTAAATAGTGCTGGAGGGAAAAGCAAGGTCAGCAGATTAAAATTAAGTAGTAAAAATAAGTAAATAAAAGAATAATCTATAAGAAAAGGGGCGACTGTTTTTTGTGATGTTCAAATGTTTTTAATAAAAGGAGTGTAAGTTGCAGTACATGGGATTCATTGTTTTGTTTTTTACCATGGTATCGAATTGGTATCAAGAATCATGAAATTTCACTGCTATTGGCACCAGAGTGAGAGCCAGCTGTTGGTTTAGTCTATATTGTTTGTGTGTTTTTTGGCTCTCTCTTGCCAGGCTGTTTTTAGTTTTATTTTGAAAATTGAATGCATTCTCTATGCTGTTCCTGCATCTGACTTCCTGCCCGGCTTAACTGGCTCTGTAGCAGCTTGATGTGGTTTGGGGCTTGTGAAAGGCGCTGCGGCACCTCTGGTGGAGTCATTGTGAAGCGTTGTCTAGAACGGCAGTGATAAAGTCCAGCGGGAAACTGAACACACACTGTCTGCGAGTGGAGTCATCGCACACAGTCTGCGCAGTCTTAAAAACGTCAGTCTTACGTCACAAGGACTAGTTTAAGAGTTTAATTTGAACAGCAAACAAGGATTTCCGAAAATGGACTTCAACCATCGCTCAGACACTTCACATAAAAGCATCTTCTGGTAGCTTTGTTTAGTCAAAACTACCATGAAAGATCTATATATAAAATAATGAAATCTCATTTATAATTCTTTTCACCTTAACTTAATTTTTAACATTAATTTGTGTTGATGGATTTTAATTGTTTTTGTCAATTACGTCATGATATCTGCTTTCGAGAGGTAAAGCAGTGTATAAATAAACTTCTGTGGAATAATTATCATGTCCCGTTTAGCATTAAAGCTAATTAAATCAAACGCACAGCCACTTGTCCTCCAATCACATCTGTTTGCCTGTTAGGTGCTTCGTCTCTCTTTAGCTGCAATAGAGACGAGTTGTGATGTGTTTAAATGCAGATCCTGTTTGATTTATTTTCAGTATCATTAGCTTGACCTTATCATTTGCACATGCTGTCCTCTGGTGTCTCTTTTTCTGTCAGCTTGCTACTTTAAAGAGCATTTATTTGCCTCGCTGCGTTGGTTGTTTGATGGTGGGAAAAGAAGACACAAATTTGAAACGTCTCCCTCAAACCGCCAGAGACAGGTGGAAGAGAGGAATGTAAATTGTTTGACATAAAAATATACTGTGATCTCTAAAATGTCACCTTAACACTAAGTTAAAAAAAAATGCAACAAAAAGTTTGAGAAGAAGTTAATGTTATTGGAATAAAAAGCTCTACATTTGCCATTTATACCTCCGTTACTAGTCTGTTCTAAACAGTGTTGGGAGGGTTACTAATTACTCATTACCTATTAAAAATGTAGTCATTAACCTAATCCAAGTGTCAGAATATGTATGTCTTTCCCTTACTTTTGGATTACCTCAACACCAAATATGCAAATAAAGAGAAAAGACAACAGAAACAAACATTTGAAAAGAAAATGGAAACAGGATTAATTCTAATCCTGCTAAATAATCCCATTTTTATTAAATGTAACTGAACTGTTTTTTTTTTCCTGTAACTGTAATAGATTTTGTATCCTGACTATGTATCTTAGCTACATGTAATCCATTACTCCCCAAGCCAGGCTCTAAATGCAGGGATTGAGTGTCTCTATACTACTAATAAATTATATAATGTAATTTCTGCCACTAGGGGGTCAAAACAAGAACATCCATTTTAGTGTGATTTGTGCGTCCATGAAAGTTTTCTTCTGGTTTGTTGTTGCATTTACTGAGTAGATGTGTAATTAGTGTTGAGAGTTTAAGTTATATAAATCTTGTCAGCCCATTCTTGATCGGAGTGAGGAGCCTTATTTTAGACCAGGGATAGGCAACCTGTGGTTATTTTTGTAATATTTTATTTTAATTTTTGTAGGCCTAAAGTGATTCTGACATTTCCCAACTGTAACAAATTTGTTACTATTACATACCAAATGAAAAAGTCAACTTTTGTCCACTAAAATGTGTGTCCTAAGTTACGTCCTGACCTGGTGGCTTTTACTCTGTGTTTGGCTGAACCTCAATAGCGGTGGTCTATTAGTCTTGAATCTTTCTATCTAGAAAGTATCAGAGGAAATTAGAGAATTTAATAGCACATGGACAGATTTATTTTCTTTCACCACCAACACTGGTTTACCAGTATGCTTGATCTTTGGCGTGAAATTGGAATTATAAGGCTCAAATATGCCTGCTCCAGACAGTCCATTTTTTAAAAAATTTCTTTTTTGATTATGTACTTCTAATAAGATTACACAGTTCACAGATTGCCTTTGTTGATCAATACTACTGTTTATGGATGCTGCATGCAAGTTATAACTGTAGTAAGATAACACAATTCAAAAGAAATTTTTGGGGGAGATTGGTAATGTACATGTTTATTACGTTACATAATTAAAAGGATGTATTTCTCTGGGTTTGAACGTTAAGTACACAAATAATATAGATCTGGTGTTTTGAGGCATTTTAAAAGCGCAAACATACACATAAAAAAGCAAGGGGCCTAATATAGATCCTGAAATCAACCATCTGGGAACAGTCTGACCTCCCAGCTGAAAAGAGAATCATCAAAACCCATGAAAAACTAATTAGACTAGACGTAGTCATAATTCGTACAAAAATATAGATTTACAAGTGCAGCACACTTTTTATCCGAAGACTCAGTGGTGTCATCCACAACAGCAGCTGCAGCAGTTATTGCACTCTGAGCAGGTCTAAAGCCCAACTGCTGAAGAAAGATGTTTTTCCTCCACGAAGCCACAATCTTGTGAGTTGTGCAGTAATTCAAGTTTTTTTTTTCCAATTTCTTCCTGTATATTTCAGTGTATCTCTAAGAATTCGGTGCATGTAAATAAACAAAAATACAAAAATAAATAAATCAGCAGTGTAAGTCAACAGCGTGTAACACTGTGGGACACTGCTGCGCTCCTGAACGCAGCTCTGCGGGATCAAACAGCAGCATATGCCTCTGATTCAATCCACTGCCGCCGCCGCCACTGCGTTCAGCCGTGACGACAGTTCAGCTACAAACACAGTTTCTTTTTTACAAGAGTTGGTGAACGCCCCGGGACCACTGAGTGTGTCTGAACGCAGCCCCACGAGACTCCACAAGAGTTCAGCTCCACCTACAACAAACAGCTTTAGTTCATCAGCTGAGGAGACCTCAGGAGCAACTCTGAGCAGAGGAGCTCAAGTGAAACACAAAAGGCTCCAGATGAAAGAATAAAAAGAGAACAGAAGAGGAGAGGAACATGAAATAAAAAAACGGTGTGGCACTGAGTAGGTCAGAGTGATTGCAAATGTCAGATACAGAACAAAAAACATGACGGGAAGAAAAGAAAGAAAGGAGCGAAAAGAAAAGAGAAAATAAAAGTGAACAACAGGTTAAAAAAAAGGAAAAAAGAAAAAAGGAGGTGATGAAGTATTGATGGAAGAGAAAGTGGGTCGATAAAACAGCGAAGAGAATAAACTCCAGACCTTGTGAAGGATGTGAATAAAACATCAAGTGAATCAAATATAAATGAAATATAAATGATGTAAAGGTGTTAAAGAATGTGAAGAAAAACTGGAAAAGTGCTTTTTCAGGAGAAAATGGAGGACAGACTTATTGCTTATTGAGGTGTGAAACAAAGAGTTAAAGGAGCATCGTTGCAGAGGCGAATGACTGAATGATATGAAGGACACGGTTCTGAGAGTCTGATGAACTCTGAAAATATAAAAAGTATCCCGAGAGTCACTGTTGTCACTAATAACAAACAGCATGACTTCATATTTTTATACATTGTATTAAACATCTGATTCCTGAGAATCGTGTAAAAGGACTGAGCGGATTTCTTGTTTTAAACCTTTTCATTATTTTATCTTTTTGTGTAGCGACATGCAACACTTTTATAATGTGCCATAAAGGAACAAAAACATGTATTTTAATAAAGAAGTCCATAAGCACTGACCTAACCAGCGGGTTTTAATAATTGTTGCCTCTTGAGACCAACATTTACCTGGGGAACGTTCAGTCTGAATCTAGTGTGTAAATCTAGTGTGTAAAGTAAGGCCAGTAAACCAGGGCTGAACGCAGCCCTGGTTTACTGGCCAAAAGCAGGAGGAGGACAAGGAATAGCGTGGCTATGGTTGTAAACATAAACTCACCTGTTCTACACAGAAATTAATGGTAAATAAATTTAAGTTTCTTGACTGATCTATTAGGATATTGGTCTGTTTCTTTGCTGTAAACAGATTTTTATAATGTAAACCCCATTTATACTATTTAATGATAGCCACTGAATGGATCTATATACTGTATTGTTTCAATTGTTACTGGCGGAGTCTGCCATTCCATGTATAAAGGATTTATAGGTTAAGCCACCATGTTGGATTACATTGTTAACTTTTTTCTTGAGTCTTATTTATTGATGTAACAAATTACTGATCCTCTCAGTCCACAGCTTGTTCTGTTGCTATAAACAGATTTAGTTATTTTGTTGTGTTTGTGAAGTCGCTCAGTGTGCGTTTTATAAATGTATGATTGCAAACAAAACTTTAGGCCCTGATGTCCCCATATCAACCAGGACTGAAATCTTATAGATTAAAAGTTAGATTTAGTTTTGTTGATGAAAGTTTAAGATTTGATTTGTCAAATCATTTTGCCATTTTGTTTACATTTGGATCATTTTACAGAAAAAACTTAAACTTGGTCTAACCTGTTGTTGGTTCTGACTTCCTGCCCGTACAGGAAGTGCTCCTGGCTGACAGTGATGTAATGAGTAGGGAGCTGCTCTGATTGGTTCTTGCTGATGGTAACAACAGGGTAGCCCATTTGTAGAGTCCACCTGTCCATCATCCCTCCGATGTCGATGTCCCGCCCCTCTGAGCGCATGGCCTGGACAAAACACACAACGTATGAATAATCAGTGACTAATAATAACCAATTAGCACCAATTATTTTCACCAATATTCAACTTTAAGTCGATTGATTAGAGAAAAATGACTTTCACTTTCAGGTGATTGGAGATCTGATCATCTGATCAGTTAATTAAAGAGCAATCTCAGTATAGCGAAGATGAATCTAATTAAACAGAGACTTCCTGTGTGAAGGACAAAAAAGAAAACAAGCCTCGCCGCCATCTGTCAGTCACGTTACCATAGCAACCAGACTTTCCCTTCGTCTCTGTCTCATCAACTCGGTGCTTAACAAGCGTCTCCCCGGCCTTCATTAGAACCGCTTCGTTAAATAATTAACAGCTTCGTGCAGTCTGGCTGCTTTTATCCCCCCAAGAGCCATAAAACGTGGAGCAGTCACAGGTTTAAATCCCTGCCACGGAGCAAGGCACTAACGCTGCATGGTGTAAGCGGACAGGTAAGTGGTACCTGAGTCAGTTTGTTCCACAGGTCGTCTCTGGCTGCGTTGCCATACATGTGACTCAGCAGATAATCCTGAAAAAACAGAGAAACAGATCAGCCACTTAAACACACCATGTGACAGGAAGTGACATCATTTGGTGGACTGTGGCTGGCACAATCTTTAACCTGTTGAAAATATTTTTTTATCTGCTATGAATTGTCTTTACACACCAAATATATGTGTTTATTTCATTAAACTTAAGACTATAAGTTAGTCTAACATGTGCCCATAACAGATCATTAAATTAATTTCCATTTTCATACATATTTTTTATTCAACATAAATTAAGGTGTTAAATTTGACAGCATTGGAAATTTGTTGCCACCCATCTGGACCATTTAGTGGCATCTAGTGGTGAAGTTGGCAGATTGCAACTAACTGAACACTGCTCGCGTCTGTATTTGACAACCTGGAAATGATAATAGGCTTGCAAAAGACCCTATCTAAGAGCAGAGTAATGTGCATATGTAGAGGGATATAAAAAAATAACAGATAAATATATGAAAATACTAGCAGGATATTTACAGTATGAACAGTAGAGTGTGATACTGCTACTCTTTTTAATGCTTACATTTACACTATATTACATTAGTTGCATACTGTACGGATTTAAAAAGGTGGGAGACAAAAGTGTTCGTAAAAGTGTTTCAAGTTTGAAATAAGTCTCATACAAGGCAGTAAGTTTTTTTAGCCCCTGTGTTGAGTCGAAAGGGCTTCGGGACTCAATCCCTGATCTGACTTCAAACTGTGAGCTATATTTTCTAAGCTAATGAACAAGGTGAAGACTCAAAAAACTCCCAGATCGAATCTCCCAGTTCAAAAGGGACTTAGTGGCGTGGCAGCATCGTTTTCAACAGGCAATTCATCGGTGACGTTCGGGTCTGGTTTGATCCCCGTCTGTCTCCAGGGAAGAAAACTTATTCCCTGCTGCAGTGTGTTTGGGGTTATAAAAGCTTAGAGAGCTTGGTGCATTGTTGGGGTTTGTGATAAAACAAGAAAAGGCAGGAAAGTAGTACAAGATAACAGAACACCTACAGAGAAAGAGTTCTAATCTGCTTCTCACTGATTGATTCCTCTGTGTGTGTGTGTGTGTGTGTGTGTGTGTGTGTGTGTGTGTGAACATCCCTCGCAAACAGTCAGTCAGTTGTCATAGCGCGTATGGAGGTTGATAAGGCAAGAAGAAGCTCTTTATTGGAACAAGATGCCACACATGATAACAACACGGAGTGTGTGTGTATGTGTGTGTGGCTTTGATAAGTATGACTGTCACCTTCACTAAAGCTGACATGAGATAAAACGCGCCCTTCCACACAGTCACAGAGTCTGATCCTGATTCCAACACAAACAGGTTTAGCAGCGTGATACACCTCAACCTAACGATAAGCATTCTGTCGGAGGAAGATGGCTGTGAGTGATAATAATTTCATTGAAAGACATTTGTTACAGCAGCTCTGAGGGTTAAGGTGAAAGATTTCTGCCGTTACAGACATCGTTTTAGCACACGGGTCTGTTAATGAGGACCGTTTTTCCACATCTGAGGATGAACCTTGATCTCCGTTCTCCGTCAGCGCAGCAAACACGTCTGGGTTTTTCAACAGGCCACTTCTTCCCAGGGAAAAACGCCAAAAATAACATATACAAAATGAATCAGGAATAGCTTCTTGACTACAAGGCTTATCTGAAAAGTTGGGTTTCTTTCCGGGAAGACTCATCCAAACCACAAAATCCCTCCCTCTGTTATTCAAGGTAATCAGACCCAAACTTTATTGATATAGTGCTGTATTGTCAGTGCACAATATTTAAACCTCACACACCAACTCTACAATCATAAGACCATCTGGAGTGGTCCACTGACGTGTTTTAAACATGAGAATCTTTCCCATTTTTCTTATCTGTCCTGCATGACATGAACATGGCATAAGGGTGGCAGTGGTGTGTGATTGGCCAACTTAAATGGTGCAACTGTGAGACTCTGAAGCCTGAATCCATATCTAATGGGAGCCTGTGAATGTCAACACCTATTTTAAAGCAATCTTTAGCTATTTGAATACGACTAAAACTTAATTTAATGCATAAAATACCAAATGTCACTGCAATATTTAAATCCATGTCCATATTACTAAGTGAATTTCTTTTCCAGAACTTTTTTGACTGGGGTGGCACAAGTAGGGCGCTGACTTATGCAGAGGTGGTATGAAGTATGTGTCTCAGCTCTCCATTTATTCCCAATTTATCCAGATTCTGCAGTGTTTATGGACCCCAGTATGCAGAAATATTCAAATGCACTAACAATCATACCACCTGCAAAGAAACTGCATGGTTTTTGCCTAAAACATAATAAAACAAATCTGCAAAGTGGAGACTCGTGGGTACCCATAAAACCCATTTTCATTCAGAAATCTTGAGGTCAGAGATCTACGGACCCATTTGAAAATGATAAATTTTTGCCATCTCCAAAGTTTAGCCTTACTTTGGAGTGTTATCTAGCTTCCTTCCTAACATGGTAGCATGACACAGTTGGTACCAATGGATACATTAGGTCATTTAGTTTCATATGTTACTAGTACCTTCGCTCTAGCTTTAAAACTCGAGGGCCTCTGCAAGACAGTGTGAAGTGGAATAGGTGGTGGCAACAAGAGGCGGTCCTGACACGCCCCTGCATACTACCGTTACAGTTATCAACTCCTAACAAAACATACATTTCGTAAATTTTCTTACTGTAAGAAAAGTGAGTTGTTTTAGTTGAATTATTAGATGCAGATGGTTTGTACAGTTTGTTATATCTTTTAATTCTCATTAAACATCTCAGAGGTTTTTGCAAAGAAAATATGAAGAAAAACTACAGAAGGAAATATTTTCCCAAGATGTTTTTTTATGCAGCTGAGGACCGAAACTAATGCTCTTATTAGGTAGTGTGGCAGCACATTGTATATGTAACACACACACACACACACACACACTCTTTCAAACGCACAGTATTTTCTGTGTGTTTTGCTGCTGGATCAGCAGTGTTTTTATATAGAATCTGGTTCTCAGTGTGTTCCAGGTCACTGACAGTTTCTGCAGGAAAATCAGGACATAGTGTGTGTGTGTGTGTGTGTGTGTGTGTGCAGGGGATTCATACATATTTCCATGACTGTATTCAGAACAAAACTATATTTAACCCACTTTCACCTTACATCATATGACATCATTTTTACAGTGACTGCCAACTGATTTACTACAAGTTTGACAAAAAAGTGCTTTGTTGCTGTAAAATAAAGTTAATTTTGAGTTTTTTTCCCCCACTCTGATACATTAACATTAACCAGTGTGAGCCATCAGAGAGCCAGTTAGCAGCTTCATACAGCTGAACAATAAATAATGCAGCGCGCTGTCATTACCACCACTGATGTTGTTGTGAATGAAAAATTAAAACACATTATAAACATTATTAAAACAAACATTTTTTTTTCTCCTCAAATAACTTTTTTAGGCTTCTCTCTGATTCATTTTTCATTACTTTGTACAACACCCAGCGCAGCATGGATCAATTTATTGAACTCAACTTTGAACGTGTCCCCATGTAAACTGTGAGGGAACCAAAAACACAATCCCACTGAACTTATTTTACCTCATTAACCGAAAAAGCAGCCTGTCACACTGCATGGAAACATTCAATTAAACATCACCAAACCTCTGAAACCTGCTGCCTTTTGGGAGGTGTTCAGCTTTTTGAGGGGAAATTCGGTTAGTTTTAGGAAGTTCATATTCTACAATTAAAAATGTACACTCTCATTCCAGTATTTTTAGACATTGCGCATTTAAATTTGACTAGCTTTAGGCCAACAATAAATAAAATATTTAATATTTCTCCACTGTTATTTTATTCAGAATAGGCTCTGAACAGCTTTTCAACAGCTGTAAAAAAAAAAAAAACTGAAAATTAGAAACATCACTTTTGGTGTCTGGTTGTGGGGGCAGGGTTTACTTCATGGACATCATTATATAGAAAGAATTTCTCTCAGCACCCAAAACTCCTTACTTGTACTCATTACCTTAGCATTTTCAAAATCTTGGCTACAATTCTGGATAAATTCTAACTTTGAGTATCCAAAGTGTAGCCCCTGTAGACTTCAAAAGTAGAAGTGAAAAGTTTGCATTTTCTTCCTGCATGGAGAGCAGTGGCTGTGCTCAGCTTGAATTCAGGTCACATCCAGAGGATTGTAATGTGGGATAGATTTTACAGCAGAAAACAAGTAAGAAAACTTCCTCTCAAATTGCCCCTGAAGCCGAAATCCATTTATTCGCTGTCCATCTTTGTACTCATGCTCCGAACAGTCAGGATTTAGCTAAAATATGGCTAAGCACACACACAGCTTCTGTCTGAATCCTGGTGACAAATCATTTTAAAGCCAAAATCCCACTGTCCCTGTTGTCCTCAGATATATAAACCTTTTGTTTATACAGCCAGACCTGCAGGGCGACATGAACTTACATTGAGTCCTTTCTGGAACAGCGACTGCCCCATCACGTTGGCCAGCATCCGGATTAACGCTGCCCCCTACAGAGAGCACAGAGACACACATTTATATACATAATGACAAGTGAAAACATGACATTAAACGTGACATTAATCAATTAATTCCGTTGCAATTGTGAGTGCAGAGGCAGAGCAGATCAGCATTGAGCTTTCATGTAAAGTTAAGTTTATTTACATTTAAAAACAAATGTTGTACAAAGTGCCTTACAAAGAGAAAAAGTATAATAGGGATGACCCAATAAAAACACAGATATCATAAGTGGATATAAGTAGATTTTAAAAAGCTTCATAAAAAAAACTAAAAGACAATAAAATAAAGCATAAAACAGAGTAGCAACTCAGTTAAGATGAATTAATCCATGAAGATGAATGAATTTCGCTGTGGACGGGCACTTACTTTTTTGTAGGCGATCCAATCGAAGACTCGGTTGATGTCTGTCGCCTGCTCCACTTCCTGGGAGATCGGGTGGGAGGAGCTTAGGCCATCCAATAGCATTACCTCGTGGAGGACATCAGTCAGGAAGCGTTGCTTCTCCTAAAAAAAAAACCACATTTGTCTTTGTCATTTATTCTCTGGAGGCCAGAGGTGGGAAGTTACACAGTACAAATACTTACTGTACTTAAGTAGTTTTAAAACAGGCTTGTTACTTTAGTCTTTAATACATTTAAGGGGAATTATAAATTACCGTAAAAATTGTATTAATAGCCGGGGCTTTTATTTCCTTAAGTCAATGAGCTCAACCTGCCTTTATTTGGAACAGGCCTCTATATGGGACAGACATCTAATTCCTTGAGAACAAAACTCTTGCTTAGCAGGGATGAGAAATTCATTATTTAAACCAGTATTAATATTACTTCTATCAAATAACATATGAATTAGGAGTCAAACAGTGATCATTTAATCATTTAGTACTGATGGTTTCTGTGAAATTAATAATATAAATAAACTTAATTCACTGACTCACAAGCTAAGATTAGTGAAGTTATGGTAAAAAGTTACTCTGTTCAAGGCGGTTAGTCTGATAGCGAGATAGCATTAGCATGGCTACATATGTTTTTCTCTCTGTTTGCAGACCGAGAGGCAGAGGTGGTTTCAATACATCCAAAGAACTTCTATAAAATCGAGACCAAGCCTCTAATTGAGACTGGTCTTATTTGTCAAAAACGTGTTGCCAAGAGTTACAGTATTATATTTTTTTATTTTTTTTTGCATCATTGCACACCTTTCCAACATCAAGACTGGTGTATATCTCACGCAAATGACGTAAAAGACTTACAAGAAGATGATGAGAGTACTTTTTACTTTCTACTTTGAGTACATTTTAGAGCCTCTACTTTTTCCACTTTAACTTGAGTAAAGTAGTTGAATCAGTAACCGTATAGTAAGTGAGTCCCCACAGTGTTGGTGTGTGAACAGGTGATTGTCCCCACAATGTTATTAACGCCCTCTAGTAAGTTCTTTGTAAACTGGATTTTATTTAGGTTTACTTCCAGCCCAGTTTAAATAAAACCACCCAAAATAGGGGCGCCAGATATTTGTCTCCATTTGGCCGGTGAGTCCCTGCAGTGTTGGTGGTGATTCCCTCTACAATGTGACTGTTTCTCTTTACAGCGATTTTCAGAATCTGGAGTTTGTTTTGGTTTTTTTCCAGTTCATTTTTCAACAGATTCCTGTTAAATAATGAAGTTTGGAAAACAGAGTCAGTCAACAAACTGTCATTTAGTGGAACAGTTGGTTCAGTAAATTATGGTTTAGTTGTGTAATTAGTCTATTGTAATCTTGTAATCTTTGTTGGTAATTTCCTGTTTCCCCAATGTTATTGTTTCCTTTTCTTGTTTACAGTTTTCCTTCATCCATTCTTTCGTCTTATTCCAGTTTCAACCCCTCCTCCCTCTCCTTATTTCCATCCCTTATCATTTTCTGTAATGTCTATGCTTTTCCTTCCTTGTTTCCTCCTCTTATTTTATCTAATGATTTCCTCTATAATTCCCCTTTTTTCCACTCAACGTCTCCTCTCCTTGTTGTCTGCCCGTCTTTTTTCTTCTTTGTTTCCTCCCATTTGTTCCTTTCCTGTTTCCTCTCCTCCCTTCTCCTTCTCTACTCTCCTGGTTTCAAGGTTTTAATAGACATCAGCAAACACATTGAGCTTTAACAAGCTCTGTCTAAATTACCCATGAGATCAACCTAAATCCAGAGAAGTGCGGCTCTGTCTAATTCATGGATTACGGTGTTTACTATGGAGATTCGGTTTTAATGAATCTCCATCTTGTTAAGAAATACAATTGTTGGCTTATTAAGTTTTAGTCGTTAATGGACAGAATGAACAATGAACAACTTTTTCTTTTAATTAACAGTATCTGCTGGGATCTGGCTAATTCTTGGTCCAATGTGGTTGTGTGTAATTCATGGATTAGAGGTGTTTGTTAAGGAGACTTCGTTTTAATGAATCTACTTCTAGTTAAACAAAAGTTTCTTGACATATTACATTTTTAATGAATATTAGAAAGATTTAGATTTTACAGTGTCTGCTGGGATCTGGCTACTTCTTGGCAGATGTGTCTCTGTCTATGTTGATTTGAATGAGATTTTAATCTAGTTAGAGTAAATACAATTTTAGTCTGACTTGATCACAAACAAGGTGTTGAGAGGAGCTGGTGTAATTCTGCTATTTAGAAACTGTTAAGTTTCGTTTGTCCCTGAAGCTAAATGATAACATACCTGTCTAATATCTGGTGTACACTTGTTTAATATTTGATCCCTATTGATGACGTGTGAATCCAGTGTCGCCTCGTAACCCCCAAAGCACCATGTGTGGAAACCAGTTGCAATGCTTTATCTATCCACCAGGAGGAGCAGTGATCATAGACGCTAGAATGATTGACTGCCATCAGACTGCTGTAGTGTGTAAAACTTATCCATTGCACCTGAAATCAGCTGTTCTCATCCTATTTGATGTATATGAGGGTGTGCTTCTGCTTCCTACAGTCCACACTGAATTTGGAGGCCAAGTCAACACCTTGAACTCGTTGTTGTGTTCCTCAAACCGTTCCTGAACCATTATTGCTTTGTGGCATGGCGCATTATCCTGCTGATGATGTAACATTTGGGTTCTGTACCAAACAAACATGTTTTCTTACACCATGTTTTCTTACACCTTGAGAACACAGCAAGCGTGCCGACTGCACAGGGTCCAGATAAAGAAAAATGGATGCCTGTTTTGATGAGAGGTGTGAGGAGCAGCTACCCAGATTTATATAATTCGGCCAGATGGTTTTTAAAATCTTTGATTGATGAAAATGTCTGCCATCAAAAGTGGAAATCTGCGAGAGAGAAGGGAAGAAGCTAAAATCCTCATGCATGGATTGCCAGACCAACACGGACCTTTAACTTATAACCGGTACAGCGTATAAAGTATGTCTGAGTCTTTACTGTGGAACCTAGACAGGCCTTGTCAGACAACTGAGGGAAGTGGGGCGGACTCCCAGTGGTTGGATAATGGCTGGAAACTGGATCCCAGCCGGCTGGCAACCAGAAAACCTGAGTTGCTGTGACTGCAAATGAACTAAACAATGTGTCAGATAAACAGTTTGTTTACAGGAGAGATTCAGACTAATTCCTGGATGTGTTCTTTGTTTACACAAGAGCTGGACTGATCCCACCTAAAAGGATTGGGGTAACTCCTGGGTAAAGACAGCCGACTGCTTTCATCTTGGAGTCATCACACACACACAAACTTGGGTAAACAGCAAGAATCAGGGGAGCCCACCACAAATTACACAATTAGTTAATTAGTTAAATGGCACATTTGGATGAAACCAAAATTACTCTGTGAGAAAGAAAAAAAAAATTTGACTAAATGAGACATCAGCTCTAATTAACAGAGACTTTAAGTCACCTGGAGAGAGAAAGAGAGAGTGGGGAGGGGGTCCATCTGGTCCATATGGTCATTATGAACCAGATGGACCCACATGTGGAGGGACAGCTAATAGGCCAACAGTCAGTGTAAACACAAACACACACACAGATGGAGATGTTCAGGAACAGCTGCTGAACCTGCTGAACTTTTATTCATCTGCCCGTCTCTTCCCTCCATCCTCCTTCACTTCCACCCTGTCACTCCTCCTCTCCTCTCCTCCCTCCTCTGTCCTCCTATTTATTTCAGTGTCATTTAAACATGGCAGGATTGGATGACAGACTGCTCTCTCTGTGTAACGCCTTCACAATGAATACTAATGCGCTGGCTGGCAGGTGTCACAAATCAAATATAGTTTTAGCCTTTTTAGTGAACTGGAAGCTGATGATTCTCACTATGTTACCAGATAGAATCGGTGATATCACACACACTGTGATAGTCATGAATTTGCTTTATCGTTTATACCAAAGTATCTATTCCTTTATTATCTTTGGTGCTGTTACAGCCTCAGTGAGTGCCCTGCATTGACAGTATATATAACGGACAGAGCTTCCAGGTCTGTGAAGTGTCTTAAACCTGTATTCTTTCTAATGGCCAGCAGGGGGCAGCTCCACTGGCTGTAAAGTATGATAGTATTGAGTCTTATGGAGAAATTAGTCGCTTCTCAGTTTGTTTATGGAGCTCAGTAACAGTTTCCTGATGGGACGGGTTATGGGTCTAGTCTCTAGTTTCAGAGTCTTGTTTTCCATATAAAGCATGGATGTTTCATTTAGTAACTGATGGTCCCATTTAGAGTCAAACAGACCATAAAGCAGGGTATGCTTTAGGGCGGGGCTACCTTGTGATTGACAGCTCATTCTCAGTGAGTCCGTCCAGCTCAACGCACCAAACTCAGATCTAACTATCAAACTAGGCAGTGCTGATCAGATATGGATCCAGATTCGGATACTGCATTGACTGTTTCTCTCCTCAAATCTGTTCACAAAGATACAAGAAAGTGTGACCATTGTTTCCCGCTGCGGACGAGACGAAACCAAGTGCAGCCGATGAGAGATGCTCAACTCCTAGTTCGTCACCACTGCTGGATGCAAAAAAAAACACTTAGCAATGACCATGAAGCCAAACTCAAGGGTTCAAAACGGTTCTAAAAGGGTTCCTCTCTCACTGTAGTTTTTATCAAACATTAAGGAAGAAATAGTGCATTTATTTGGGAATATTTTCAGGCGTGGATTAATACTCCATCAGTGAGTATTCTGGGCAGCAGGGCCTGAGCCAATCTAAACTACAGTGTGTGTGTGTGTGTGTGTGTTCACAGTGTGGCTCATTGATGTATTTTTAATAGTTTCTGGACAACAGCAGAGTTTCTTTGGCACAGAGGAAGGCTCAGCCTCTGATACTTGTTTAGATTTGTGAGTGGAAGAAAAATAGAGAAGACCTTTAATGACAATATTGGATTCACAGGATCTTGAATATGTACTTTGTCATAATGTATAGTGTATAGGATTTGTGACATAAAATCACATATAGCAGGATGGATGATTTTATCTGTGGGTGAAACCAACCGTGGGTTAAACACTCTGCAAATACACTTTGAAAAGTGGAAGATGATTTCCATACAACC